ACGATCCCAGAAAATTGGGGTTGAGCAATTTCTTCTGGAATTACATAATACTGATGACCAAATTGTTGTATACTATCAGTAAAATTAAATATCTATTTTGATTACGCTCTTAGTAAAATTCCGCGCTAAATAAAAGGAAAGAAAGCTCGACCTCTCTAAAGTATTAATAGACATCCTAATTAAAAAAAAAAGAAAAACTGTGCAATAAATAAACTGTGCCATCGGCAGGTGATTGGGCTATGTTGCTGTTGAAGAACATTTTTGGCATCGCGTCGTTGGGTTGTCTGTCTTCGTATTCTGTTATCGCCGACAGCTTACTGCAGCACATCACCAATGAGAAGCGTAAGTCAGCCACGTGAAATCAGACAAACGAAGATAAATGCGCCTCCCAAACAAATTAGAAACCCGATTGGAAAACCAGTCAGCAAGCAATAACTAGTCAAGCACAATCGGTTGTATTGTTAGCAATAGATGTGGCATCATTTACTAGATCAGTCGCTCTACGCAACGAAACCCGGCTACCATACGCTACGAAGCGAACAAATGTACAATGAATGTATGCGCGCCAATTTTCAAATTGTTTTATAGGGGTTCATGTCTTCTGTAAATTCTATATTCTCATACATAGCTGCTTTGCAAAATCAAACCATTTTGTCCAGATACAGTACATAATTGTACATTATTGCACATAGGCTTAGTTTTTAGTTCCTAGGAGTTTTTTTTTTTGCTTGATGTAGACATAGATTACAGTGTTTAACGGCCTGCACAGGTGCGCTGAACATTATCCTGTGTCATGAAGGCGAGTGGAAAAAAAGTTGCGCATAAGGTTTCTTGGCTCAAATCTAACAAATGTTTAAGCCTGTATCTGTCGTAGTTAACTTTATATGAAAAATATACCTAAATACCAAAGCTTAAGAGGTAATGATGTCTATCAAGGACAAAATATCTGTAGCACTTTAGGCTGAAAGTAATTTAACTGCCGAAGGAGAGAGCCTTTAAAATAGGTTTTTCTCTTAGTCGACCCTCGACCAGGGCCCTTTGGCATGTAGCCGCACACCCCCTGCATACGACCCTCCGGCTGGCATCTGTGGCGACCTGATGTCTCAGGTCGTGATCGGCGTTTTCCATGTGTAGGTTCTTATGTTTTTGTACATTTCGTACTTGCATTTTTAGCGGATTATAATTACTCGTTTTTTCGCCCTTGTCTCACTCTAGCAGGGAACGGCAAAAAGCTCACATCGATTCGACAGATTTGTGCGTTATATCCGAATTTTGCACTGCGTATATTGCTGCTTTCTGTGAAAAAAATCTCTATGCTACAAATGTTTGCATTCGGGACAGGGGGTTTCAAAGTGACCCATCACGAAATTTTCATGTAGCAAAAAATCATTCAGGAATAACATGCCGCTCTTTTTCCGTATGTAAGGAAAAGAGGGGAGTTGAATATTTACACCTCCTTCGCCTACTGTTTTGTCTTGCTACTCTAAGAGGTTTCAAAACATAGAAAGAGTCTCCTAAATTTACCAGACAGGCGTAACGTATCTATCCTTACAACCTTTGTCGTCGCAACCCCCCGTTTGAAAAAATTGCCACATGCTGTAACTCTCGGCTACGTCGCTACGTTATCCCTTTACTATGTTTTGGTGATTCGATCGTATTGCTCTATTCAGTGTAATTTTGTTATTTTTATGGTGTGATTCAATTACCCTAATCTAGGTATTCCAGTAGCGTGTTCTAAGATCCTCTGATTTTAGCGAGTACGCATAGACTTTTCAATTTGGTGTTTATCGTCTGAAGACATAACGCCGATGAACTTTTGTAGTAAGGTGCAGTAAAATTTTTAGAAACTTTTATTCCAGAAGAAGTATCCACATTTTTACCATAAGTTGTATTTTTTCAAACTTATACTTTTCACTGCTGCATGTTAGGCTAAGAGTATACGCCAGTACAGCCATAGTAGTAGTTATCAAAGCCATGTTCAATATAGGCTAAATATTATATATACACTTAATGGAAACGCCGTAGAGAAAAAGTATATTATGCAACAGTTAAACGTATTATTTTGTTTAAAAGTGTATAAAATTAAACATGTACAGCTCTAACGAACGTTCCATTCATCTTTACGATATCGTACGTTACGAGCAAATTTTTTCATATTATATCTGTACGATAAGTCGTGCAGTTCCATTGAACGTGCATAGAATTGCATAATCTGTGGAACCGATCACAGAGGACGAAGCTGCTCGGCCTAATTAGCAACAGGTTTCAGTATTCAGACCATATCTTGGTCAAATAGCAGCAGAAAATTATCCCACTATTGTTAAAAAAAAAGAAGTGACAATTCGTGTGCCTCTTCTGCGTTAAATGGAATTTTATTTTTAAAAAAATGGTTCTACAGTAATCCTCTGTGTACTATCTGGTTTTGCTTGTACCGCATCCCTAAAAAACCGAAAACGTGAAGAAAATTACCATAAAGCATAAAATTCGACCACGATTCAGCTTAGGTAATCTGTTTTCGAACTGTGAACTCACTTTTTGACCTCAAACCTAAACTCGCCTCGATTACCTGTAAGCCTAACTCCTTCCTAACTGCAAACACTTGCGTATTTTTTCAATCAATCAAGGGAATCCATAATATTTTAAGCAAATAGGTAGATTTAGCTAGCTTCCCTGTGTTCGTGCACGCATGAAAGCTGGCTGGCTCGTTCGTTTTCCATTTTTGTTTTACTTGAAATTTGCCCCATTAGCCCGTTTCGCTGTTAGTGTCTTATTCATCTGCCCCGCCCACAAGGCCTCCCATGTACGTTTCGGGTTCGAATCTTTCGGAGAGCGAAAAACGTGCTTAATCGAATGATGGGCAACTAACCTTTCTTTGATTTACTTCCGTCAAACGTTTCGATAGTTGTCTCGTCCCAGAGGTCCTGACCGAAAGCGTCATTCAAAACCGGTAATCACTGCCGCTAGATCTGGTCAGACCTCTGTGTCGTTTTAGAGGTAAAAAGTTACGCGTCCATTACCTGTTCCGCTGTTACCAAATCGATTTCATAGCTTTCACCTACGAAGTCTTTTGTAGACTAACCATTTCTGAGATTTCTAGCGAGATTTCGTGACAGATAATAGTCTGGGTGACTGTTCGGCCTTGGATGGCCCTTAGAGTTGTCCTTTTTGTATACTACTGTTGTAATTAACTAACTGTAATATGTTGTCATGCAAGAAAAACGTACAGGTATTTTTATTAAATGTATGACTTTATTGTTTGAGTTGTCACATTAATTCGTCCCATCTCCATGGTTCATGAGTAAACTAAATTGCTAAACATGAACGATCGTTACGTTTCTGCTAATTAACATCGTTTGTCTTCGCTCCCCAGCTCGGCGACGTTCACTAGAACTCGTCCTCACTGAAACGCGTCCGTTTTTTAGTCGTAGCAAAATACTTTCACCTTTAATACTAGTACGAACCGTTTCGTCTCCTGATCCTGAATTACCCACACTTCGTTCGCTCCCCATAGTCACTTTTTGCTCTGTTCGCTCGTCAGTCGTTACGTTATAATTACTATATTACAGTAACGTTTTCCGTCTGTATATAAACGTTTGCCGACTCCCGGCAACAAAAATCTCATAAGTGACTGTTAACTAATCAGCTCCGCTCAAAAATGGCATCATTCGAGTTTCCGTTGCTCTCATGGGTGGTAAGAATATGACTGTTTGCTATAGCCGCAAAGCTTCACCGTACATGCTCTTTTCATGTGTATATACACGCAGATCGCTAATGTCTATATCTATTAAATTAAGGCTTACACGATAGAGGTCGGCAAGCGTATTTTATCCTAATGACTAGGTTTACACGAGGTTTAACAGGTATGCGCTTGCCAGGGTAACGTTGGTAACAGCAGACCCAGCTCCTGTTTCCACAAGCGAATCACTTCCTCCGATGCGACCGTTGGAACACAGAAATGGGTGTCGACCAGGGAGCGCCCTGTAGCGGAGATCGTTAGTAGGTGTTGCCGAAAGTAACAGTCTGTAGATCAAATGTATTGCCAGACTGAGCCGTAACTTGTGAGAAGTAGGTGCATCATTATAAAGCAAATATGCACGGATAGGCGACAAATCGCAATAGTTATGGCGTCGCGTCGCCACACGAAACGAGCAACATAAATCTGACGACAGAGATCTGTCAACAGTAGTCATAGTCATAACTTGTTATGTGTTTGTGGACAGACTCGCACCTTGCGTAATATAAATCGTCCATTTCGCATAAAAAAAACATGTCTACGGCGATCAATGTGGTCTTCGCAGAAAACGAAGTTTGCTACGCAGTTACTATTAGTTATCCGAGTTAATGCTGGCGTGCAGGGCACGTACATTCGGAATTTCGTAGGTTCTACATGCTATAGTATTTGTCTCGCTTCGTCAGATGATAAGCATCATCAGCAAGACCCGTGTTTAGGTCTCCGAAAACACAATTCATCATTACCATCGTGTCCTTATTTACTCCGGAAAAAAATAACCAAAGTCGATGACAGTGGTTCGATTGTGTTGTTACGGTGAACAGCGCCACTTCAGTCCATTTACGCACGCGATGTTATTAAGCTCTGAGTTAACGGGAGTCTCTGTGGAGTAGCAAACTAAGCGTAGGTATGGTTATTTATTCACAGATGTTTGGCGTTTTTAAACGTTTAAAACGAGCAATTCTTCGCAGTCCTGACGCAGCGCAAGATAACCCCCAAGTGGTATTTTTTTTTCTCTGTTGCCCTTTTTTCAGCACGCTATGTATATATATATATATATATATTGCATGAGGAATATATAGGTTTGTACCCTGTTCATTCTTGAAGGTGTTTCTCTTTATAAATAATACAACAGTGTCCAACTCGACCATCTAACAAAGCGCAATCGCTTTGTTTCTTCAGGCCATCGTTATCGATACCTTAACGTCGTCACTTCGAAGATGAGTGTGTCAGCTCAATGCAATAAGGAACATTTGCCCACGACGCATCGGATTTACGTAAATACAAACAATTTTATCTAGTAGTAACCTGAGAATACGTTTTAATATGGGCAAGAACCGAGTCGTTTCTCGGGCGACGCAAATTGTGGCTCGCGCCTTGTACAATAAGCAGCAATGCGAGACGAAACGTATATTGAGATTTTCAGTCAAATGTACAGTCAGTCATAAACAAAACATGGTAATACTCTCAAAAACCTTGAACAGTATAAACGTAAACGGCATCCTTTGCTTTTGTGGCGGGCGCGAACTGCTTGATAAATATGGAATGTCAATAAAGGATTCGTTTATTACTATTCCTGTGAATTTCTGCAATCGCTTGTTATTTTATTTACAACTGTTGGTGTACTGGTACAAGAGTACTCTGTGAGTGAGGGCACCCAGCGACTTTGCACACTGATTTTCAACTTTATCAGAGAGCCCACTCTCAGTGACGTGCCAATCGGACGACTGATTTGGGCAGGATTCGATTTATGTCAAGTAAAAACATACAGAGTGACAACAGATGTGGACGAAGATGGTCTAACGTCGTCGAGATAATGCAGAAATTGGCAAATAGAACGGACCTTCCTGCTCCTGGGCTGAGCGTATTACTTTGAAACAGAAAAACGGTTTCACTGGCGACCATTCGTCTCGCGACCAGATAACAAACCGATACATTCCTTCATTGTCACTCTCATCCGCGCTTCAGTGCCCATCATAACTGCGTAATTTCTATTCAACTACACCGTATCCTCCGCCGGGATCGACACTATATACGAGCGGATATCTTTTGCCTACGCGGTCTCCTTAACACTTGGCCCTTATGAGGTGTAATACTTTAGGTGAGCTTTGCAGCGTTCGAGCTTCGAGAAAGAACTAAATTAATTTCATGATTTTACTCTTTTTTCTAGAGCAGCACCAGAAGCTACTGTGCCCTTAGCCATAAGCATTTCTATCGCACACACGCCCGCTGTCTTGGTACTTCCTATATGAGAATTGACCAGTGGGAGACAGTTGACTAATCGATAATGATGACAGTACTATATCACTGGCATTATTATTAGTTCGATTACAGGTAAAGCTGAACAAATATTTTTTATGCTGCCTTTGTCATAATAAGTTTTTTTTAATAAGACAGATTTTCACCTAGTCCCACTATTTGGCCATGTTAATTTATAGTTGCTATGTTTTATTTAAAAATCTCTATACATATTGCGAGATTTCATGTTGGCTTTGAGTTTTACTTAGTTGTTTTTTGGGGTAAGCTTTACTTGCTCGGGGGCAAGAAGTAACAGGGCTTTGTCGCGGTCACGATCCCGATTATGGTATTGTTCGCTTGGCCCGGCTGCCACGGTGTGATGACCGTCTCTAAAATAAGTTCGTCTTGATGTTCCTGCTTCGATCAGAGGTGGCAATGGGCTAGAATTTCTGGATCGATTGTTGCTTGCGGGATTAGTTGTTTGGGACGGTTGTCCGCCCTCACGGTGCGTGAGGTTTACCACACTGCGACAAAAAAGGCTTCTAGGTAGGACGCTCGCCATGCGCCACAGCACGGCCGTAAATACGAGACCCCCGGTAGGTACAAAACCTGCAACACCGAGTACGGATAAGCAAAGGTTATCGCCTGAGGAGCCAAGACCTTCTAAGGTGAGATGATACTCTTTAATACTCTAGAGTCCATAATCGAGGAACCTTGTTAATGTAGCGACCAATCCGCAAGGCAGTTACATGAGACCAATCCGATTCTTCCTTCTCACCTCTCTTCTCCCTAACGCTTCCTGCTTTTTCAAATTCTAGACCGGAAGTTTAGCCCATATACATCGTCATCATGTCCTCTTCGCGTATCTAAAATAATAATGTTGCTTAGGAATGAGTCGGGTTCTTGAACAAACAAAATTTCGAACTTCTAGAAACTCACCAAACACAACTGAGATCCAGCTAAACGAAAACCAGAACCATGAGGCCCAGAGAAGCTGAAATGCGATTAGGGCCATAAGACTGAAGGCCCGCATGTTACGGAGCAGAGCACTAAGCAACGGTTTAACGCGACCGTTGGTACTAGGTGGAGCTCGACGCTGATCTGTGGAGTTTCTTAGAGAAGCTCCTGAGTTTTGCGCAGTGCCACGCGACATCGAGATTCCACTTCCGACAGTGTGAAAATGTGACGCATATGTAGTATGAACGCGAGATGACAAAAGAACTACAAACGGGATATAGTACACCAACAGCTGTAACACAAAATGTCAGTAGTAAAAGCTTGGCTGGAGTTTTTTGTTTTGAATTAACAATATACTATGATCTGTTTCATATCTGCTCTTGAAATCGTCTACTTTTCGTTATGGGCTTGTTTTCAATATACGTTTGACATGTGGAATATTCGTATGATATCTTCTCTAATGTATCCTCGACCATAGAAGCAGTCTGAAACACGGGCAAATCAAAGACACTGACAAATGAATGCCAACCCCTTGACCTATATTATAGCTGAATGAACTCAAAACGAAAATAAGGCCCTTTCCCCTTAAGCATTTTCAACGTGTTTCTACGTTCCAACTATTTGCAAACACTTTACGACAGCTCAGGCCGAGCATTACGAAAATGGGGACGTACTTCAGTATTTTCCTGACTCGCTAACCGCATTAGTGCATAAGAACTACTTCGTCTACCGTTACAGGCCGATAGCTCAATAGCATTCCTTGGGAAAGCTATCTTATCTAGATTATTTTAGAAAGACCAACCAGATGAACACGGGTACAGCCTCACGAGGGACAGATCTATTACGCATGAGTCCGAATGGACACTGTGTCTAAAGCTTCAATGATTTATACTTCAATTTTTTTCGATACACCTCAAAGGAGACAATAGTAATGTCACAGTAGAGAAGATTCATACTGCAAGAAAGAGAACTGAATTTGGAACAGCGTTTGGCGGATACGGTGTTTTCGTCCTTAAAGAGAACCCTGATGTGGTAACCGAAATTACAACTAAAATCTTGCTAACGGAAATACCCTTGAGGCAATGAAAAAATAGGAAGGTGCTAAAAGGGCAATTCTACCACCGACTCTAGATTTTTCGCCAAATATTTCGGAGTCGCGATGGAGTAATATTATACTGATTATGCAGAGAAAACCGGTTTGCTATTAGAGGCACAATATGACTTTGCGAGAAAAATATATAATACATCGTACGGTTGCAAAAGTCCCTAGAAAAGCGGAGCAATTCATGGACATGAAAGATTCGCTCAGCATCCAGCTTGCTCTCTACTCCCAAAATGACTATGTTGAGCCTTATATCTAATCCTACTTTTACATTATCAGGCGCCTGGTCCCTCCTAACATACTAAACGAAGCGTGTTTCGCACATCCGTTCTGAACCTATATAGCTTCATCGCCAGATATTTCTAGGGTTATTGAACAGCTTACAAGCTACCTTCACTGCACTATCTCACTCCATGTCTGCTCTCTGGAAAATTAAGTTAATCGTCAAGATAACTTCGAGTCATCTAATAAATGGAGTCGTCTGGCAGTAATAACAGCTCTGAGCTGCCTCTGACTAGGGTGCTTTCTTTCGTAAAAGCGGACCTCATCGCTTTTCAATAACTGGTTAAAATCCAAAAACCAAAAAAGCTTTCATAAATGAGCGCGACTGAGATGCTATGTAAGGTAGCGGCATCGACGCAGTTGCAATGCAGTGTGAAGTAACGCCAAAACTCGCGAACTGCAGAGTCACCGGTACTTAATAGGTACTCAGCATTGCACAGGAATCCCACCTGAGCAGAGAATGAAACCAGACGGATAAATATCTAGGTATATGGACTGACCGGATCACGCGACACGAGGCAGACCGCTCACCGGAATAGTGACGAGCAAATCTACGAAGGTAGTCGCGCATCTGTGCAGGATCATGCCCATGGTCAGAAAAAAAAACTTCTTGTATCCGATAGTCATTAGTAGGTCATGTTGGTCGATAGCCATTTTCCGGGCTTCAATTTAAATTAGTAAAGATTCGATGGCATTGTACATAGGCAGGCCAGTGAGAAGAGTTGCTGAACCTGGTGCACGCGTATCGTACGGGAAACAATACCGCTGCTTTGGTGCTCACAAGATCAATTTCTTAGGAGCATAAGATCGAGCAAGAACACTAGCCATTCGTATCGTGTGGAACTTATCTCGGATTACTATTTGTACACCGGTGAAATGTCGTACCCGACAGCCGATCACAGCAAACCCTGTATAGGGTAGCTTCGCTATCAGAGCAATATCCGAAGCTGAAACGGAGTGAAATATATGAAAATTCTGCAAGAGACAAAGAAAGGGAAGAAAAAACTTTGGCAGGGCTGATTTCCCCAGAAAAAGAGCAATTGGAAATGCTAAAGAAAAACAGAACTTTGTGTGAGAGGCTTAAGATAGCCAACAGACAGCGTATTTAATCTCGGTCGATCAAGTCCGACCGTCCAGAGAAAAGCCTGACCTCGTTCCGAAATCTGACAAATGATGCGATACCAGTAGTATACGAAATTAAAAAAAAAAAAGTTTTCCTTAGGCATCTCACAGCCTCCGACCTGTCTTTTATCCCAGAACTGTTCAAATTTCAGGTGTATAGCAGCAGCTGCTTCGTCTACATATGGAGTCAACTCACATAGCGACATTTTAAGTTAAAGGTAAATAGGTAATGCAGTGAAACTAACACTCACTCAATTCACGGACAATAAAGTAATTTAGGTGGACAATCAAACGTAGAAAAACGCACTCGGCTTTAAGTGCTGGGAGGGTCTAGTTATTTGAAATGAAAACGTCAACGTACTTAAGAATAAAGCATTTACGTATTTAAGATAAAATAAATGGAAAGTTTGATATATATGAGGTGATGTAGGGATTATTTGCTTGTAGATTGTCTGCAGGACTTCATGAAGTGAACAATTCATAAACAGTGTGCGGATGATATGATAATATAGGAATTGATGAGGAAGGAACTACAACAATCCTCGGTACCAGACCCGTTTAATGACAATGAAACGATAACATTAGTGTCTCAATGTGCGGCTCTGTCATCCAGCAATTTTCCGTAAAACACAAATCTCTACTACTTCGTCGTTTTAATAGCCTTTCAATATATGGTGCGCGTATCTTGGAGCACGAAATGCTAACATTGATGAATTTAACGGCACAGCTGGTTCTAGAGTAATTTAAAAACTGGAAAACTCAACAATGACAAAATAATAAGTCTCACCTCATATCTATAAATAAATGACAGGTAACTACTATATAGCACTAAGCCTAGTCGTTCAGAATTTGACGAACGGTTTAGTGCTTCATAGAAAAGCGGTAACGAAAAAGCTCAGTAAGCCTGTGGAAACGACTGAATAGATTCTAGAAAACTGGGGACGAAACCGGAAAGGCGAAAGCCATAGGTTAGGTTACCATGACTGCTTGGAGGCCAATTCGTTGCAGCAGGCAGGCCACTTTTCTCAGGGTACCGTTAATACCGGTAGCGGCGTCCTTTCTAGGCGAAAAAGGAGAATTGGCCATAAAGGACTAATGTTTACAAAAGGAAACTTGACGGACAAACCAAATGTGTACCTTATGAAAAGCAAATAATTATGTTTCCTACGAAGTCGTCATATTTTTAAGGATTTCAGCTGGTATTGTGTGTGCATAGCCTTTTCACTACAAAATTTGCGTTTCAACGATCGGATGACTCAGTTAAAACGCGACTCACTGATCTAGCAGGAATCTTCTCAACCATAGGACAACAGAATAACATTTGGCAAATATTCTAAATTGTGTGTTTCTTCATTCTTATGCGTATCCTGCGCATTACAATGGTTTACCTAATAATAAAAAAGTTCTATACAAATTAATGCTTTTAACGACAAAGCTGTTTATCGGGCCATTTGCTAGGGTACATTTAAACTATCAATAATAGCGCTCAATCATGACCATGTTATGGTTGATCATAAAACCGGGATTAACGCAGTCGTAAGATAGGTTAGGCCCCATTTAAGACACTTTCAATTTTTTCATAACTTCAACCACATAGAGTACTGCCAACTTCTGCAAAATCGAACAACGCTGACAGATAGTACGGTACGTCTATGTCAAACACTGCTGTTATACCGCCGATCATTCCTTCGAGAGCATATGATTAAAATATACGAATATAGAATCTATTTGAAAAGTAACCCAAAATGGATTACCAGCAGGAGTGCATAGAAGAAGATGATGCCGCCTGGAATAAAGCTGCCATCGACGAAGGTCCCCCAAAGAAAGCAGATGCCTAAGTGCTCCTCGACTATTGCGCCCAAAAACCATGGACCTGGAACCGGGAGATTAGCCAATATCAGACTTCTATTAGAATAAGAAATTTCGTTCGTATTGCAGCTAACGCTATCATGGTAATTAGTGCAAGAAAACATTCACCATTGTTGAACTCTTGCTATCGTACGGCCTTAACGGGCATCAGTAATTAATAACAGGGCGCCTTGATTGATCCTTAGAAAGCAGTATTAACAAAATATTTTAGCATGCAAAGCCTAAGGAAAAAGTCAATAAACACAAAACTATTCGCTTACCAATGCAAATATATATCGGGAATGCTATAAGTGGATAGAAAAGACGATCGATAGAGACAAGAAGCGTTAGCTGAAAGAGAAATCGAGAACAAGGACAAGCGACGCAGGAATTTTTGCCGTTGTAAGAAGCCGTGCATGAATCAGTTCCATGAGAAGTAGCTGACCCAGCGCTACGTTCGCCCACAGTTCTTGGGTGGCCCCAGAGTAAACCGTTGCCCAGATTACGTATACCTGTAAATTCAATTCAAAATGAAACGAACTCAACTCAACTTGAGATCAATGTCCTTTTTTTTTTTTTTTTTTTTTTTTTGGATAAAACGTTTTATGTACAGAGTATCAAATGTTTTCTGATGTATTGCGCCTAATCGAAGTGACCAAAAACATGGCAAACTTCTAATCCAATATTTGCAAAACACAGATATTGGTAGACCCTGCCACTAATTATATCGTTCTTATATGGCCTCCCATTGTTGTAAGTTAGACTCACCATGACCCGACGGCCCCGTGTAACGTATCCTAAGTATTATTAACGGACCACCAATAATAAATACAATAATGCACAACAGAGCAACAATGAAGAGCTGGCGAGAAATATGCAACGCAAGACGGCCCAACAGCTCGAACGACGGTCGCGAACCATCAACGCTGAACTCGAACGATACTGAACCGGAACGACCTTGACCATCCTGAAATGTAACACGTACGTATAATCCAATATGTACGTATTTTTTCCAATGGCGTTACTTTGCAAGATAGCTGAGTGCGCGACCATTCCGCTCGAAGGCCATTTCACTTCAGTAGCTCGGCTGTTTTTTCATTATTATGCAACGACAAAGTTAATCTACAAGAAAAAAATCATCGACATAGATGGCGTAAAACCTAACCTAACCTAACACAGACCAGTACACCTGAACACACGAGAGCAAACTTCATGCCTTTCTATTTAGCGTCAGGCGAAACTCTCGCATTGGATCCCCGCACTTCCGAATAGACAAATGCGTTAATACCTAGAAATCGTTGGTTAGGTCCATACATGTCTAGTGGGGTGTTACCTATTGACTCCAAGAACTTTAGGCAAGCGAAGGTAGACAGCGTTGATGAATTATTACTCGAGCCTTACGCAATATAGAGAATTACGGTACATCAAGCGTGCATCGCAGACGCCCCTGTGGTTATACGCTGGTGTGCACAATGTCTGGCAACATCTTTTGCACTTACCTCAGCAGTAACTCGTAACTTATGCAAGCCTTGAGCGTAGACTACCGGCTTCCACGGCACTACAAATAGAGGAGTTTTATCTACCTGAGTTAGGTAGATTTCATCAGCGTCGTCCAGGCTAAGTTTCACCTAAGGGAAGTTAAAGAGTCGAGGATTTCAGTACAGATAGATATTTTCAACATAGTAACTGATAATAATAACAACCAGTAATTGACAGTAAGCGTACTCAGTTAACAACAGAGCTAATAACAATATTATCTTCAAACTGATACTCTGTCATTTTCAGAGAACTTTTAGCGTACTGTTATCCGTTGTTATTCTTTCTCGTTCCCTTTCGTAAGTTGTGTGTCGCTTCTTAAGAAAAAGCTTTAAACCTACTAGGTGGAAGAAAATCTGCCAATACCAGTCAAGTACTATTTTCTAACGATCGATTATTTACTTTCGTGACAAATACTGACAACCTCTCCCTGGGTTCGCAACGCGAATTTGGGCCTGTTTCCATAGCTACATTACTTCGACCCAGGTCTTACCTCATATTGAAACTATAAAATGGTTGTGATAGACCCATGTGAAACAAAACAGTCTTATGAATGATTCTTTCGAGGCATAAGGATTGCGTTAAGTGGCTCTCAGTGTCCGGGGAATAGGTGGGGCTCTATCTCAAACTTTGCATTACAGCCGAGTTGGCCATACTGTTTACGTTGCACTCACCGTTTAAATAACTTTGACCATCTAAGATAAAGTTAAAAAATCTATTGTCGTCTGTAAATCATTTACCAAACAAGGGGCTTGGTAGCGAGTGACGACGACGACGACGACGACGATAGCATACCTCAATAATCGGTTCATCCGAGAAAACAAGCACGCGTATATGTGTAGAGTCTCTGATGCGCTCGAGTGGCTCGTAGGTCGGTAGATGAAACAGAGCATTTTTAGGGTTCGTTACTAGAATTATTGGATATTTCTGTAACAACAAAGTAGAAACAAATGCATAATAAAAGAAAGCTATGCTTTAAAAAAAACGTGCCAATATTACTATATAATATTATTGTTATTATTTCTTTATTTAATAATAAATCTTATATAAAATATTATGGGGACAATCTGAGATAGTCCCCAAGGAGACGCCCATTAATTCTTGAATATAACATCCCTGTTGAGGCGACAAAGACCCCCGTTCCCTGATCCAAACTCATAGTATATGCTGTCGTTATTATAATGGCTTATTATTTACATTTAACTTATAGCATATTAAATCAGAAGTGATCTTTAGATTTTATTTGCTAGGGCGCATAGGTTATATCTGAGGTAAGCCATCTACGCGGTCGACCTTGTTCTGCATTGAAAACATCCACAAGGAAAACAGTTCCGCACAATCGCGCCTTTCTAGAAAGACAGGTTTAATCTTGTGATTTTTAGGATGAGCCTGCGCGTACCACGGCCACTTCACGCATACCACCTAGCGCCATTAAGCATTCTCCTTTAAGATTTTTATACGATACCTTAAAGGTAACGTCGATGAAATTAAGTAGTCCATGATCGATAGAAAGCACTCGAAACTTTCTGTTTTCCTTAAAGTCGCCAAGCTCAAGTTCGAGAGCATTATCGTCGTGCATCGCATACATATGCTGAACTAGGTTGAACACCGTATGGTAATGGCCGCAAAGATATGGGCCGGAGTTACTGCAAGCAACGAAATTGATGTAAGACAAAAAGCTGACAAGGACCTTCTGAGCTGCGTTAAGAAAGGTATAATTACACTTAGAATGAAATATACTAATGAATTTATGCTTCATTTATACATTATATCCACTATCCTTGCGGATCGGATGTTTGTTCGTCTATCGTCGAAACACGAGACCCTCTGTGAACAAAAAACGGTGACGAGCGGAAATGTAAGTAAAGTCGCGACCGCCGTTGCAATTTGTTTCAAAAATAGTTATCGACAATTCTCGTTTCAACAGATGACACACACAGAGGAAGCTATACATTTTACGGGCAGCTAACTTCTGAGACCATGCGAGTTACGTCCACTGTCACTCTGCGCAAACTCTACCGAAAGAAAAGCCCTATTTGAACATACATTAGAGGGTTCAAGCAATCTGAGTTGGTTCCGATAAGCACTTATACACCGATTTGCAGAAATAATATTTTCCAATCGAAGGACATATTTTCCGTGGTTTCCATAAATTTCGATCGGATTTATATTTCGGAATAACTGCTACATCGGTTAATTCGAAATTAGTTTTAGTCGGCTTTTCATTTTCTGGAGAGCAACTTTAATTAATACTACCCACTTTGTTTTTTTCGGGACGAAAGGAAGTGATAAAAACGCCTACGAGTGCGTTTCACTGAATTGTAAATTTCATGTAAAAAAATTATGTGTATATATATATATATATATATATATATATATATATATATATATATATATAACGGGTTCCTTACGCGAAGAGACTGCGCATTCCGAGTCCTTGTTTGTTTCGGCCAAACACGACCGCAGAAGGATGATGCCCGAACCATATAGTGTAGTTGGCGTCCGCAGTCTGCTCTCGCAAGTTTAACAACTCATCAAAACGAGATAAAGTCAGTTGTCCGAAGAAGTTGAATGGTCGTCGAGAACCTACAGGGTAGAATACATATATTATATACTTAGGGAAAGCAAAACCACATCCACAAAAACAGTGATATTTCCCACATTTTTGACGATAACAGCACGAATTGGTAATGCCAAACGTTTATGCTGCTTAACCTAAGGAAAGCCATATTTTATCCAAAAAAGGGTCGGGTCTTGCTCTGTTTTTTAGACCTGACGTCTGTAGAATATGGTTTTACGAATCGATTAAAAGCATGGATTATAGATTCCTGAATAGAAATATCACTAACCTGGATCCATGCAGGTGTCGATGCCCAGGAAAGCTATCTTTTCGTCCCCCTGGTCATGAATGTAGTGATAAGAGTGTTCGTAGGTACGCCCTTTTTCACTGTACATCCGATACATGTTACGAGATGAAGAAACTGATGCCAAATTTAAGTTATCTGTTAGGCAACACAGAACAAAAAACAATATAAACTGTGTGCTATCTCTACGCGTATATTTCCTGGCATAAGGAACACTCAATAAGTAACGGAACATATCAGAACCATAATAATAGAGGTGGAAAAAAAAAATTCACAGTGCTACCCTTGAGCTTTTCCGCAATGGGGTACTTAGATTCGCAACTACGTTTCGTACGCAAAATGCACATTCGTTTACCTAGCATGTTCTTCGTTCCGTTTTGGGCTTCAATAAAAACCCTCCATTCAGTTATCATCATAATTGTACAACTATAACCTATTACTATCGAACCTGAACCTATTCAAGCTTAACGTGCTGATAGTTTGAAGTCAGTGGATACTGTGCCTATTTATTTAAAAAAAAAAAACTCGTTTGCTACTCATATACGTGTTAAAAATATATCCGGGCTCTACCATTTCGAAGAAATGGCAGAGCTTCACTCTAGAGAGTCGGAAACTTTTTCACGTCGCTAAAAGTCGTCTAAGCTGGGCTGGGCTGGGCAGTTCCCATTCACGCTGCACATATACCAGCTTGAACCGTAACCTAAATTACCAAATATCGACTGATTAATTGATGCAAAATTTATTGGCTGGAGCACAAGGGTGTAAGAAAATTGTCCTATGGCTGTTTTACCATGAGAGCTTTGTGAGAATTCTGCTGCAGTGGAATCTACTTGAAGCACCATAGATCATGATCAGAACTATTCTGACTACAGAGGCCCTATATAGAGAGTTTTAGGATATAGTTTAGAAAATATCAAAAAACAATAGAAAAAAAGAAAAATAACCTCTAGCGTTTTATTATATCGTCGTAATAGCATGAGCTTGAACTTCCCAACCCAATACGCTCAATCAAAGTATGTCTAAGGAAAATATAATCGACTCTTCTCAATAGCTCAAGTATTTTTTAATAGCTTACCATGATTTCCACGGATATCTAGCCACTGAAGTTTTTCTGTAACCTTCGAATCGTCCAGCACTTTACGGTAAGCTACCCACTCTGGAAGATTTTGATCAGAAGCCATATATGATGATCCAAGAGAGTCGACGATGTCACCTATCAATGCAGGATTAGGCGATCATTCATTCCGTTAATGAGCGAATACAAACATTGCGCATAGCATCGTTTATCTTCAAAATGCCTACCTATAGAATACAGCGTCGATCTTTGAAGATGTATTTTGTATTTGTTTGTATTACGTTTGTATTACGACCAATTTTATCAAACGCTTTGGATAAATTAACGAGCGCAATAGGAAGGGCAAGCTAAAGGTAGAGGTTTACCTGACATGATGACAACTGGAGGCTTGATGACTCTGAGTATCGTATCATTTACGAACGAAGCAAAATCGGATATTCGCTTGTGCGCACGATACATTGAGACATGCACATCCGTCACCTTTGCACGACATGCACGACAATTCCGCATGACCGAATAGGCGAAGAAAATGTCAAGAAAATGCAAAGAAAATGATAGTAACGGGTGTGCTCGATAATTACATATTGAAGATATATTTTTCAAATTGCTTTCTTTCAAAGTGACAAGAGATTTCTGCCCCAGCTGTATAATCGACCTTAGTGTTTCTATATAATCCACATACTCTTGGTGGGGCAATAATCTAAGTCCCATAAATAAAAATGTAATTGTAACAGATGAAAATTTGAATAGCGCCCCAGGCTTGAAACACGGAAGTAGCTGATAGTACTGCGACTCTAGAGACACAAGTAATGTATATAAGATGAAGAAGATGGTTATCACTATAGACGCCTTTTATCCATCGTTCAATGTTCACCGATATACTTTCACCAATGGTGCTGAACTTGTAAACTCGAGAAAAAAAACTATGACAACTAACCTTCAACGATATATTCTAAACGTTGGACCTATTTTTGTTTCAAGTTGTACATATTATAGCCGTCAGGCATTCGATCAAACAGGCGCCTGGCTCCCAGCCATCATGAAACGTATTCTGCCTCTATATCCGGGTTCGAATCTAGACCACTTAAGATTTGCTGACAAACAGGTTACAGACTAACCTATTACAAGGATTAATTATCTGCACCTACTCCTTGAATGCTCGATAACCGCACGTACCCAAACACAGTTAATGATTTATTAAATAAATATATTAAATACTCAATTTGCTATCTATCTACATGGTACCATTTATGGATTTGCACGATCTGGTTTGGATCCTGAGTCAGAGAATCTATATCTCTATAACATTAACTTCTAAAAGTCGCGGCAAATGCATACCCTTCACACCCGTATATTTAGTAGTGGTACAGTTGACAAATCGTCGACCTTCAAAATAGGAGACAAATGTGTAAAAAACGAAAAAGCCTTACCGCTTATTACGGAAGTACTTTAAATAAAAATTTCGAATAGATAAAAGTTTCGACAGCGAATGATACAGAGCAGCCATCAATATCCTGTACAAAATACGGATAAGGATTTATATTTCATTAAACAAGTGCGGTAGGCCTGGAGAAAGTATTATATCAATAACTAACCTTGCAGATACAAAAAGAGCACCCTGTATTAGATATTTGACCCTTGTGATGGTTAGGGTCGATGTACGGGTACTCAGAGCATGAAGCGAGCCCTACAAAGCAGTTATATTACGACGACGAACTTGAGATAGGAGCAATCGGGGTGCTTTTGTTTGCGATAAATTTCCACTTAGGAAATGTATGTCTCGTCTTAGCATACCCCCACGGGACAGAATATGGAAGGGCTGCTTCAATGAATAAAAGATGAATACATTTTTCGGTATCTTTATCTATCCACTGGTTGTGTAAAAATACAAACAAGGTCGAAAATCACCGAAAAAAGCTGCTGCAGAAGTATGGTGTTGGGAAATCGGTTACAAAATTCGACCAGCACTCTTTGATAGCCTGCTGCTGGTAACGGAACTCAAGGAACTAATTTTTACTAGTCAACATCCACTACAATTTCAACTGGGCCTTCTTTTCCGCTTCTGAATGGCTAAAGCGCACATTTAAAATGATGGACAGGCCACCTCGACTATACAGAACTAGAATTAGAAGATACATACTGCAGCCATTAACAGAACCTTATTTCCATCTCCCATAAAGTCGTTCAACAAAAACACCCTTAGGGTGTGGATGCAGTCCCTGCGTAAGTGATGCTTATAGAATTTTGTTTGCCTGTTATTAATTCTGTCAGCCGAGAATTCAATGGTATTGCAATCGAAATTTAGCTCGCCAGCCTTGCTCGCCTAAACCGAATTTGAGGATCTTTGAGAATAGGCTTGAGACGCCTACTCACTATAAAAAAAGATGATATCAATATAGAACAAATAAATTAGCTAGATAACTATTTTAAGAACGTTCCAATGGAGCCCCTAATAAATAACTAGTAAATGTTTTCTCTAATGCAACTTGAATAACGATTATAAGAATAAATTTCTTCTTACCTGCACAAAGTGCATGAGTCTTCGGTAGTGATCGTCGGGGAAAACGTGAGCTGTTTGCTGCCCGCGTATTCGGCCGTGATCTCTTTTCGTTTTTATGGCAGCGTTTTTTTTTGCGGTATCTCCGAGCAGTTTATTCACCACGGACCCACCATTTTCCGAATCTATTAGTACGTTACTTCGACTCCCGCTAGGTCCTCCTCCACCACTTGTAACGACTAACAGGCCAAATGCAAAGAGGCCACACAGAAGAAGCAAAATGCGGCCCATACTTCGATCCCCTCCAAGCATGGCTATAATGTAGCTTCCAAGATAGCTCACAATGGCCTAGAATTCATAAGACTATATATGTATAGATTTTTGACGGCAGATCAGGATATTCTGTTTGCGTACATGTAGACAGGACTACATAAGCAAAGAAAAAGCTTTAAGACTTTTGAACTTTACATTGTCGCACAGCTTGGTGGAAAAGATTTTTCCTTAGTCGTGTGTGTATGTGAGCGCTCATCCGATGCACCGTCGACCTGGTAAGTTTTCTTTCAGTCATAGATGAAATGAGCTAGTTGAACTAGCATTAAAACAAGTACCTACGCAGAACGGGAAAAAAAACAGGTAAAGATGTGCATTCGGTGGGTATTTGTGCAGGTACAAAACATCGGCTAGAGTTCCACACTAACGCGGCAAGCACCTGTTCTTCCTCTTTTCATTTCTATTTTATTCGAACCCAGTCAATCATTTAAATAATATCTGATGATCAGTAGCAGACGATGCATAAAAACAAAGAAACAGTGGAACCAGATGTTTACAATGTATGCAAGAACAATCTACACGTTTCTAATGAATAACTAGTAACTGACAATTTTAAATATGTTTATTTCATTAACTGCAAGCATGTGAACTTGTGGAACTTTTGTATAGTCCGGCTCTGCTTGCAGCCTACGCTATCTAAAACTCTTGTACGAGACTACCAAAACCTAGTTGGATGAAATTGCTGGTATCTCTTCTGTTTCGTCATACGTAGCTCTAATACAAGCTTCAACTAAGCGGCCAACTATCAGCTGTGAACAACAGAAGCGTAGATAGGAGCTATCTATCGTCCATGCTTGTTATAGGCATGTCAGTGCTTTAGGTCGCCTCCTGCTTGCTTCCGTTGCGATGAGGTTCCAAAGTATGATCTGTCTATACATATATTAACTAGTATTCAAAAGATAGCGTTTTTTGTGCGGCCGACTTGTACACAAATATAGTCTTCGCAGATAGAAACAGGCCACATTACTATACTTCAGAGAAACAATTCCTGGATAAACATAGTTCGAATAGAAAATATATTACGACAGACGAAATAGAACAATGCGCGTTCTGTTTGCGGTTAAATACAATCGTACACGGCAATCGAACAACGATGTGACAGGGGACACAATAAGCAGTATTTCGAATACCATTAAACATATATGTCTATATTAGTCCACAGAGAATAATCTGTCATAGGGGCAAAATACGTTATGCAAACATTGTCCAAAAAAGGACATACTTTAGGTCCAGCAAAACCAGTCCATACGAGAACATTTAACCCTTAACAAACGCTGGCCCTACAACAAGTTTCTGTACACCGAATATTCCGATTAATTTCCTGATGCTGATTGTTCCTTAATCGAACAGCTCTAATGTGAGCCTTTGCACAACACGACGCACGATTTCGGTGCCATAATACCTACCTAGCCGTTTCAATCCTACGGAACTCCCTGATATTCCCATAAAATGCTATATAAAATGATATTCAATAAATTATTTCGTGTGCCCGTAGACAGTCCGAGATCGAAGAGATCAATTTGGTATTTCTGACGTGTATTCAAATCACTATTTAATAACTTTATTGTCTGTTAAAGTTCACTTATGCTTCTGGACACATTAGGGCTATAGTAAGTGACACAAGCTGTCGTTTTTATAATTGACCTTTTTCAAGTACTTCCATTAGAATCTGGCCCTTAAATTTGCTCTTAATAGTGCCGCACGTCGGCAGATCGAATTCTTTTGCCCCGTTGTCAAGAGGTAAAGATTAGCTTTCCACACGCATATATTTTGATTACTGTAAAGTATTTCAGTAGGGGGGCAAAAATCTGTGACTTGTATACTTTGACAGTTAAGGAAGAACGTTACATCTAGTAACAGCATTGGTGTTAATAATTAAGCAAGATGTCTCGTCCACGAATTCTAGGATGGTCGATACGTATGTTTATTTCACTAGTTAGTTGCGGTTTTTGTATGACGAACTGTTGAATAATCACGCAAGCTCTAGACGCTTTAAGTACAGTCTAGAGAGACCCCTTGGCGCCTCACGCTCATCTGAAACCCTTGATTCGTCGAGCCACCGTCAACGATTTTTTTTTTGTCAATTCACCAAATTTTTAAAACTACATTTTTCGAAGAAACATATATTGATCTAGTCAACGAGAAGACGTTTTTCGTGCATACTCGTACATGCAGAATTGTCTAATTTATTTATCTTTGATAGTTATTACAAGCTCTCATGATCCCGTCACTATATCGCTCATGGTGTGATGAAAATCTTCTATTTATTCAATTTAGTTTATTCTGTTACTACTGTATAATAGATCGTACATTGAGTTAAAGATATTAGGTAATCTTTAATTCAGTGTACGGTAAGTTAATCCACGATCTACATGTTTGTTCCCAAAGTGTACAAGCTAGCCTCTGTTTTCGTATATTGGTTTCTTAATGTCGTTGGTTTAATGTCGTTTCTTGACATTGCAAGATTATCCTCATTCAGTCCAGATTTTATTTCCTTATATCTATGAGTTGCGTGCTGTGGGGTCACGGATGTCGCCGTCCGTCTAAGGCGTACTATTGTCCTGGCTAGTATCGACTCAATTACGTGCCCGATGCATATCTGTCATGCGGACTTTACATGATAATGTCTGCTTGATTCCCTATTTATCAATGTCATTCGAAGTTGAACTTTTGTTTCGTCTGCTATAAGTTTATACAAAACTACAAACAAGACGTCTAATTGCTGATGATCACTTTTTCGTCTGTCAGCTGATCGTCAATAAGGGTAGTTGAAATAACGGGCCATTGAGACGATTCGTACTAAAAAAAACCTGAATCCGCTATCAGCCATAGTTAGGCCATAGGCAATCCTGGGTCGATGAGTTACTGGGTCAAATCCCATAACGATTGCGGTTTCTATTTCAAACAAAGTGGTAGTACTTCAGTTGAATTATTTACGTACGTCCGGAAACTGTATTACCGAAAATGGAGTCGCTAAGATTTTTATGTGTTCCGCACATTGATAACAATCCTGTTTACCCTTAAGCTTTTTTTCATTTAAATATTACCACGTATGCATCCTTAAGTTGCTGCTTAGGGATTAGGAAGGTGCTAACTTTAAGTTTCCAGGCAGAGTTACCTATCCCCGTTATTTATATACTGTTGAACACGAGCATTGACTGTACACATTTTACATTAAATGCACATTTTTAACGAGTATTCTTTAACGAGGTTCAATCACTGCGCCGTAATAGCGAACCCTGTCAGTTTTAAAGGATCAGAGAATTGCTACGGGTAAGCAAAGGTAGTTCTTCACTGATATCTGGAAGCTATCTATGCGCAACAGGAACTTAAGGCTTCCAGTGTTCGTATTTCTTATCCACTGCAATTCCTTATAGATTGAATGGTTAAACATCTCGTCAGATAAAATGAAGAAATTGCCTGAAGAAAATGTTGCACGTATAAACAAGCATCGGAAACTATTTTTTCTCATCGTGCAGTACGGATGCATCTGATGCCATTCATTACTGTTGTATGTGAAAGGACTTTTTTCTTATAAAAACACAATAGACTACGGATGAGAAAGCGAAGTGTACTAAGCTTCACCTATAGCAATGGAATACCATTTGGTAACCATACACATTTTAATGTGGCTTCGTATTTTGAAGGCATCTCTTCAATTGAAACCTGAAAAGAGTTCACGTAAAATCACCAGCTCTATGGAAAGCGATATATCTGCCAAAAACATCGTTGCCTGTAACGTACAATTATCTTAACCGCGCATCCTGCGGTGATGAAACGCTAGAGGTCTTCATTCGGACCTTCATAGTTTATCCCATTTTAGGCAAAGGTCTATCGAAATTTTTAAAATGAATACACTGGCATAGAAGAAACATATACGATGGCCACTCACTACGAAGTGTTGTTATTTAAATCAATGATTGCGTACGTGGTTACATCGGACTGAGACGGTGCACAAGCGATCCGCTGATTCGCTCTTCTCAGGTCGGCTTAGACACTTTTGTTGTCGTTGTCGTTGTCGTTGTTGTTGTTGTTGTTGTAGTTGCCCTCTTTCTCCTACTGCCTACGTTAAGCTGCGTCTGTGTGGGCAAACGACAGGGTCTGGGTTGGGACAAGCCGTTAGCTCATCGACTGTAGAACTCACTGTTTGCTATATCACGTCGGAATACGTTTGCTTGGCAAAGAACCACGTTATCACACCATGCCTCTATGTGGGCGTGCGCCCCATCAGAAACTAACTAGTCTGCACTGGAAAGTCTACAGTGAACAGCCTAAAAGAGACAAGCACTGATATGTTGAATCAGCTGACTGAACTCTGTCATCACACGATGTCACAGATAACGACGTTTGTTATGCCATTGTAGCAAATACGCGCTTACGTCAAAGGTACGTAGAAGACGCACGAACGGGACATGGATGCAGAAAAGTGACACAATACAACACTACACACGAGGGTAACGAAGACGACGACGACGATGATGATCAGCGAACAGTATACTGAAGTTTGTTGCATCGCCTGGCCTGGCCTAGGAGACGGAGGGAGAAGGCCACCCTTTATGGCAAGGAGGACTAGCGTTTAGCTGGTTGGCGCCAACGTTTGAACAGCGTTTATCCCCGACCAAGTAGCCAGACCCAAATCTAAGCAAAAAGACGGACTACAATACGTTACAGAATAACAGTAAAGGGCTTTTTCATGTTCTATCTATTAGATACTATAGAAGCCATATACACACACACACACACACCTGTGACTATTATTCAAAAAAAAAGAAAAGTCAGTCAACGAACCGACTTCGCGTTACTTTCTGGCGTTAGGGACAATGATGTGTCTCTAAATACATATTAGACATAGAAAAATTTTTCTTTAAAAATGATGATCGATGACCCAGTTGACTTCGTGCAAATCTTATGTTTGTTACTATCCTGACAGATCCCGTGCTTACATTCGCTCCGTACTGCTTCAGGCAGCTGGGTAGGCCTTCCTAACTATTGAAACTGACCGTTTGTTTTCGCATGATCTCGAACCAATTGCTCCTAGGTTTAGTAGCCTATGACGGATTACTAAAGATCCATACTTTCAATATCTAATTCTGTTAAGCTCGGGACTGTTTCATTTCGACACTGAAAGATACACCTAGATGTATGTATCAATATCAGTAACATACAGCCTCAGCAACAGCATCTTATATAGATTTCCTGCAGTGACGAAAGAAAATTGACTACACTCACAGCAGAGTGACGAGTACGTTTTCAATAGCATAGGTCAGACGTAAAGTTTGCATAAGTTTATCCTTGACGAACAAGTTTCGCTTGTTCTACAAAATCTAAACAATCAGAAAGGACTTTTCCAAGTCGCTATTATTTTGTGTAATACTAGCTAGTGCTTAAATTCCAGACACAATTTCGAAAGAAAAATTAACACTTATGACAATATACTTTATTATGGCCTGTCATATTGAAGAATGAGTTTTTTTCATTTCTTTATCCTATATTGGCAAAAAAAACAAAAAAAAAGGTGTGCCTGTCATGAAATAAGGCTTCACTAGCGATTGTTCAATTTCAAACAAGGGAATTAATCGTTTAGACGAAAAAAACGACAGAAATACTTCGAGGTAAAGAATACATTCTGGTTATGTTAGGTTAAAAGTACGTAACAACATTCGGTTGCGCCAGAAGATCGATCTGCACATTTTGCAGCTGGAGTAACTGTAAAAACAGAAAAACATAGTAAATATAGTTTTTTTTGTTATTGCTGCAGAGCTCTAATAGTTTCTAAAGCATTCGTATCTCATAGTTGTTTATGAAACCATGGTAGACTTGAAGTATATATTTGAAACAAAATACACATAGTATATACTGATGGTGTAATTTGGATAAATGCAGGTGCATGATAAAAACATATTTAACCAGTTTAAAGTAATCATTACTAAGAAGATGGGCAAACCTCAACATGCAGACATTCTTCCATTCAAGCAAATACGACTCGACTCATTAGGACCATATTCAGGCCAAATTGAAACGCTTCTACCGCAATAAATGGTCTGTATTTTGTCGGTGTTTATTTCAGATAGAGCAAACATAAACATCAATACCTAATTTTGATTAAAAAAATCATCATTGTATTGCGATAGTATTCAATAGAGTTGATGGATTTTACGGGAATGCCTAAAGGATAACGCGAAGATTAGGCGCAAGTAATGCGCGTACCTGCGTTGTTGCGTTGTATGTAATCTTGGCAGGATGATGTGTACCACCATTGACCTCTACAGTCGTGGGCTTTGTCCGAACACCGAATATGTTTATTGCCGACACCTGTGAATTGAATAATAGCGTCGGTCTGTTGGGTTTAATATGATTTTGGGCAAATGTGGGTGATTTTTATCAGGAAACATTCACGCCTCGATACCGTTGTGACACTCATAAGCGGCGCCTATAGTTGATAGATCATAGCATATTATAACGTATTAACATACGGTGACGCTCTCCTCGGTGTAACCGACGTGAACTGGACGGGTGATAATAGCTCCATTTTGTGCACTCATTTCCACCAGACTGAAGTCACCGTTTTCAACAGTGTCTGAAAATCCATTTTACAAAGAGCGGATAATACGACGTTAGGTCGAATAGAACTGTATTAGGACGTTGAATACAGGGTAAGATTATACAACGAACCCAACTTATTTTTTCTATATATTTTGCCCCGGTTTTTGCGTCGACATAATTCATATTTTCAAAACTAATCTTGTTTTGCGTTACCCGCTTGTGCAGGTCTTGAGCGTACTGCTATTTCCCAAAGCCTGTTTAGATCTATATTTGTCTTCTGGAGTCGCCTGCAAGAACTTCCTTCTGGATTATTTCGAATTTTTCTAAATTATTGTGGATCGCCTCCATCTGCCTTACGATTCAAGTCAAATGTTGATAGCTTACCTATTCTAGCTAGAACTAGTTACAGTATGGTAACCCCGTAAGCATAAGTCGACACACGCAACGTCTTAGGCAAACTTTTACCAAAAGTTTGCCTCCTATCACTTTTACCTAGCACTTTTCTTATGTTGGAGTTATAGTACTATTGAAGTTAACCAATTTATTACGCGTCTCGCACAAAGGTGAAAAGGCAAGTTAAAAACGTAGAATGGATGTAGTTCTTTAGCCATCTCCCGTACGCAATGAAATTGCATTTACTTACAAAATGTTTGAATGATCTTTGGGCGTTATATATGATAATTTTATAATTCACATTTGGAAAATCTAATTGCTAAACAAGATCGAATAGAAAAAAAAAAACTGACCAAGGGAATCACCGTCGTCCCAAAACAGCTGGCCATGCGCGTTCTTGTTTTCATCCAATGCTACGAACAGGAAGAAAGGGTTCTTGCGATTACCCGATAGAGTTTCTCCACTCGTGTCTTGAGCTGAAATATGAAGTACGTTGAAATCATGAATCTGTTGAAGAGGAATTTAATAATAATCACTTCTATACGTTTATAGCCAATTGTAAAATCACTTCAGAAGTGCGTCGAAGGAAGAAAAGAAATGATCTTCTTTTCTTTGATCGTCTCATATGTTAGACAATTTTAGTACTCTTTGAAGAAAATTACTCAAATTCGAACCTGGGAGTATGTGTCCTCCGCGCAGAATAAGGTTTATATCAGTTACTGGTGCTTCCAATGACACGTTGGATTTACTTGTTGGATTGAGTGGTAAGCCATTCCTGTTAAAGTGATACCATACTCCGTCCGGAAGGTAAGGTGTGACATGCGTCTGGCCCTGCGAATCATATAACAATAATAATAAGGCACCATTAGCATTTAATGGAAGTTTCCTTAAAGCAAAACTTCTTAACCCTCAAACCAATGTCCTATATGCAAATGATTAGATTAACGAAATTAATGCCGTAAGCGTAGTAAAGGTCGAACATGGGAATATAATTGGTGAGCGAGAACAGTACCTGATAAAGAGCTGGAGCAATGAGGAGACCTTCTCCCCACATAAATTGTTCGTCACATGAGTGGCTTTTGGGGTCCGACGCAAAGCTGAAAGTTTGCGGTTTTTGATCTCTTATAATTTATCTAGATATACTACCAAATCTTATGTTTCAGTCGTTGAGTTACTACCGCTTCGATATACGAATGTTAGGAGCCGGCTGAGATTAATCTTTTCAGTATTGGCTATTACAGCCATGCTGAGAGCTACTTGTCTTATGTATAAAATGACATGCCGTGCATCGACGGCGTCCTGTGCAATACAGATACTTCTTTTAAAAATCAAGCAATTCGTCGCAGATGCTCAAAGGTTGTAGAAGTTCCGGCCAATTTCCCGTCGAGCGCACACGTCGCAAGACCTTTCTTTTTGTGCCATTGTGCCCTAATTTCTTGCAAATAGACGTAATGAAAAATGCTCAAGCCAACTGAAAATACGATAACGAAACGTTGTTTTGTGTGTTTGTGCTTACTTGAACATCATAGCTCTGACAACAGTTTCTCCATAGACGTGTGCCCGATAGAACAGAGTGTAAAGGTATGGCGCAAAGAGGTATTTTTTTTGCAACGTAATAATAGTTGCGTTAAGTACGCGATTTCCCATTATTGCAGGATCTTGTTCCTAGAAAAAGAACAACCTCTAATAGAATAATATAATGATAAAGGACGATGCTATTACCAAACTATATTTCTTAAGGGTCTAATCATGGCAGATGTAATATATTCCAGAGTAGAAATTCAAGCAGAACGAAACAGGACAATTTCCAATCTGTGGTAGCAAGCAAGTTCTTGTTATGATTTGCGGTAGGCTCGTTCCTATCAAGCTTAATATCGTTGAGTCTATAAGAACAACTCGATACGCACAGACTGGTTAAAATCGTTATGGTTTCGCGTGAATGGATAGAAGGCACCAACGGCCTGCCAACGCGCGCACAGCTCCTCAGTTGTAGAGTATTGAAATCCGCAAATATCGGCACCTGCACGAAGCATAGATTTGTTCCTTTATCTTATTCAAAAATAGCCGTATATTAATAAACCCCTTCCCATCATAATATGTATAATATCATGTGTAGTTTGGCCTTTCAATATTTGTATCAAATAGATATTATAATGATTCTAGTAGATTTAGAAATTTTTAATCACAGGTTGGTTAAATCCGTTCATAGACTGTCTATGTTGGTGCGCCCCGATGAGGGCGGTACTGGTGATGCAGTACTTCGAAATATTTCACCATAAAAAAAAATTGCACTAGCTACTTTAGCCTTAGTCTTAGATAGAAACAGGATTGATTAGTTTCGTTAGTACGAGTGGGTGTCTTTGACAATTCCTTGCTACACCAATCCACTATATTCTCAAACTTACATAACCAAGCAGACAAACTGTTGGCACATGTATGTAAGTTACTTACCTAGCATAGGCATTCCGTACATAGCGAAGTTGATTATGTCAGGAATCGACTGTCTCAGATCATCCCACGTCGAGTCAATATCGCCTGTCCAATGGCCTGACCACAGGCCTTGGCCTGATGACGTTGAGCGCGAGATGATAAAGGGCCGTTTTGTGGGTCGAATCGATACTAGAGCTCTGTACAAGGACATGATACAAGTCGCACAGGTGTACATATATGTATAAAGCTTATATATCGTGATATAAATCAACTCGTGACGTAATCCTGAAAGCAATGCTTAGTGACTTTATATGCTGAACGGAATCAATCATTTTTATAGGAGCTCAACGCTCATCGTACTATAGGGATTCGACTGATGAAGAAGAAATGTTTGAGCAACAGTTGCGCGTTCATGTTTGTTTATGGACAATGTAACCGTCGTGCAATTTCTAGCCAAAGGGACCAAGAAGGTTACAAAATAGATGGAATTTTCTTTAATGAAACGATAAATTTAGAGACAAGATTAGCAGGGAAGATCCGTTAAAATAACCAAATAGGATGATGTTACATTTTCAACATGGTCACATACCTATACATTGCCCGCGCTTCAAGATGCGAGTAAAGGTTATGAAGATCGTAATGACTGCCAGCATACATCCTGTAATCAAAATAATATATATATTTTGATTTTTTGAAGTATTTTTTTGTTTTGAAACGTTGTTTTGTGATGGCGCTGTCCTTATTCGTATATCATGAATAGACCAAATGAAATACTTAGTGCTTTAATATAGTTTTAGCTGCAACCGACCCTATACGTAAACAGCTACCCTTACTATTAACAAGCAAACCTCTATCATAGGTTCAAAGAGCGTTACGGTACAACAAAATGAATAACATAAAATAATAGCTATGGAAATCCAACGTGTCGGCTGCTGTTTTTTCCGGTTCTGTTTTTTGTTTTTTTTTTTTTTTTGCTGTTTTAGGTGAATGACAAGGCAGTCTTTCTTTTCTACGTCGTCATTCTGTGGTAAAAAGTGAGAAAGGTCTCCGGCTGATCTTCAAATTGGTGATGAGTGTTGTATTTACTTCGTTTGGCTACAGGGATCTCAGTTAATTACTAGAAAGAGCGTCGTGAAAAATGAACTGAGTGCTGTTACTTCACAGCGAGTTTCTTCATTGAGTCGTTTTGATACCTGTCGGACATGCATGCCGTATACGTAAATAACGCTTCGCCGCCGATGATAACAGGTGGGTAATCGAGTGACGTATCAGGACACGTACCGTTTACGCCATTCAATTGGTTGGATGGCTCATTCATATCCTGAATAGAAACTTAGTTAATAAACAGCGTGAGACAATGCTTCAAAGATTTCGTGTAACACACAATAGTAAATGAATAATAATTGTTTTTACTGCACTGGCTTATTGTACCTTACGTATAAGATACTTATATTACGAGCATGAAATTTAAGCACGAAACCGAAAAGTCCATCTTGATAGCTAGACGTTACGTAACTACTCATCGTCGAATAATTTATAAATTACCGATTTAGAATATTATTACAAACGAAAGGTAGATCGTGAGACTTCCATTTATACCTGTTACAATTTGAACTCAATAATAAAATATCGAAGCGCTAGCAAAACTACCCCTACGTCGTTAAAATGAGTATATACAAGCTACCCCACGATCCTTCACATTGCAGTTTATGGCGACAAAGTTAAAGTTACTCACAATCCATGCGCCGTCAAAATCGATCTCCTTATGGAATTCTCTAGATAGGGTTGTCCAGTATTCATCGATTCGCGGGTGGGAGAAGTCCGGAAAAATTGACGAATGCAGGTTCCATACCTACATGTTATAGCAAAGGAAACAAGCAGAGCTATTCAATAGGCGACAATGACAGCATATTTCAACTGGTTAAGGCAGCAGAATGTGTCATTATTTGAGGTGTTTCTCTATTGAGGTCCTCTTATCATTTTCTGCAATCAAGTGAACTTGCAACGCTTAGGGCGTTCCGTAGTAATTTGAATGAGGGTAGCATAGATTGAAGGAAGCGTCTTAGGACCAAAGTGTATACATAGGCTAGAAATTTATAGAAAATAAATATTTGTTAAGACAATGCACATATGCCTTACGAAAATTTAAAATTTAGAGCGCGCGAAAGTAACAGCTGTTTTCTCTGTCAATTCGCTAACGGTACTTTAAGGGTAATGGACATTAGCTTATCGGCACAAAACTGTCCTAATTGAAAGACACATCAAGAGACAGATCTAACCTTGTACCTAACAACGTGTCCGGTAACGTTCTTGACAAAGATATCTTTTTCGAGGCCAATATCGTATGGTGGGTATGTCCCAGGCGTCTCAGATCCAGATATTGCGGGGTCCTGTAATTCATTGCGTTCCATATTTAACGGAGAATTATCTAAAAAGTACACGTTTCAGAATTTAGCGTACGTGATTGTTTATGATTTCCGTGACGGTACGCAGCATCACCTACATAACATCGATCGGAGGACCAAATGTCTGCAGTGCCTTGTTCAGCTGTTGTTAATTCATGTCGGAGAGTATATGGGCTATGATTTCTTTCGTGATTATGTGTGATAGTTTACCTTGAGGCAGATGAGATGATCTGACTACTACTAAGCAAGTTACGAACTTCCGCGCGCTATCTACCACAGTAAAATCATGACATCTGCCATGTAAATAGAGAAGATAAACTGAATCAATTGTAAATGAAAATCAGCTTCAACATTAGATTTTTACGAAACGCTGAGCTTGAACTGGTCGAGTTAATAAGCTGGTCGATTTCGGTAATTTCCAACCACTGGAAGTGATCGGACAAACCTACCGATAAGTAAGGTCTATTTCATTAAGTTTCTAAACGGAGCAATGCATATGAATGAAAGTGAAACAGTCGAAGGTTAGATAAAAAACGAATTGGCTTCATGGTGAGTACGTTGCTTTGTGCTTCGGTTCATTTTAAACTTACAAAAATCATCACGTATTTCCGTCCGTCCTTATGTAGTCGCTTGACAAAATCGGGCAAACCCGCAAAAGCTACTTTGTCGTAAGTGAACATGTTGAAATTCTCCATATAGTCGATGTCGTTCCACTGAACTTCCTGTTTAGCAAAAGAAGACGTCGAAAACAAGTCTTTTAAAAAAACGGCAGCGATATAACTGTGATAATTATTTAGTGTACGTCTGGTCAGTGTGGAAGAATAATGGTGACAGATAATTCGTACTCATTCGTTCGCAATCAAACACATAATCAGTGCTCCGAAAAAAACGTCACTGTTCTATTTAAGATTACTCAGCACTCTATACATCTTCTCATTACCTGTTCGCTCACTTTTTCCAAGTTTTTATTCATACGCCACTATATAGTTCAAGATAAAAAGGCGAAGCAAAGTTTTTTACATAGCATGACACACTGTCTGAACACACAATAAGGCTTGTAGGACTTTACGAAATATTTTTGCAAGGTGTCTTCAATTCCCTCAAGTTCAATGGGCTATGCATATTAAAATCTAATGAAGGTTATGAATGAAAAACTTCGACCGAAAAAAGATCGAGCTCCGTTTAGCTTCTTATACAACTGCGCATATCAATGCACCTGAAAAGTTGTGAGTGATATAATCGTTCTATCGAATGATTCGTACTCACGGCGCCGTTCCTTACGGTCTTAATAAAGCAAGGTAGTAATATGCGTCTAGTACCCCGGACCGAATTTCTGTTAGGCTTACCCGATGGCCAAATGGAATAGTACACAAAACTCAAAAAATTATTGAATTGGTAATTTTCTTATTGAAACAATTCTTATTAGCAATTATCTTCTTGAGCTATGACTTTATATAGAAACCATTCAGTCAAATATTTAATAAAGTGTGTGTATTTCAACAGAATCTAAGGACAAATAGGTCATACTTAGACCTACATCCTCAAACACGTTGCGCGACGTATGATTTGAAACCGATTTATACGAAGAGTGTGATAGATTAGAACGAAGTTTTGACACCAGAGGGCAGCATATACGTAATACTTCCCTTACCAGAGGAACCCCTTTGTTGATGTTTCGTTCGTAAGTCTCGACGGTTTTGTTCAGCGTCCCGTAACCATAGCGACAAAGATGGAATCCAAGACTCCAATACGGCACCATCGCCGGAAAACCCACTAGACGCTAGAAGTAATTATGCGACAAAGGCATAGTACATACTGAATTAACGTAAGGTCAGGTATGTCTACTTTTAAGTGCATGGAGCGAGATAATTTTTATAATATATTATATTTATATATAATAATAATAATTGGCCATGCTGCCTTCAGTCGTAAAGATTGGATGACTTCTTTAGTGAGAAATAGAGAGGCAGTCATTATTAAATATTCTCTTCGAAACCGATGACGACTATGGGAATTTAGGATTAACAGGTGGGACAAAGCTGATAGATAGCTACCTGATACTGGGAGAACACATCTCCTGGGGTCGGTCCTGTAAAGATGAAGAAATCGAAAATTCCACCAATTGCGCGAAACGTTGCTGCAGGTTTTGGTTGTAGGATGACGTCTGGGATAGAATACAGATAACAAAAAGTGATTTATTACAGTAGCGGTAGTTCAGGCGTGCCACCAATAAAGCCAGATACGTATTTATTCAGCAATATATCTATTTACTATTAATGTACTGTAGAAGGAATGAGTGAAGTCCATGAGTACCCATAGCGTTGCTGTTTTTGACGTAGACGCCGCTGGCCTTGTTGTTTTTATCGAGATTTACCATCAGGGTATGAGCTCCATATAGTGCGCGGTTTGGCTGAAATTTGTTGTTCGGTAATTATTATTATTATTAATTAGATGTCCTCAATCAATTGTTTCATGACTAGGTACCAACATGTAGATAGATGTTCTGCTATCCTAAACTGCAAATATTTCTAGTTAGCATTTGTTGTATATTTTGCCTTTGCTATAGATAATAGAGCACCGAAGCTTCGTGCTCTAATGCTATCCGCTTTTTCTGCAATTTGACAACAATTAAAATATTAAGATCCTTTTTTTTTTTGTTCCAAATAATGTACGTAGAAACAATGATTTTTACGTTTTGTTAACTAATGAACATAAAAAATAAGGAATGATAAGGATAATAAGGAATATATATATATATATATATATATATATCACTGCGTTCTAATTGCGAAGTCATATACTGACTTTGCGATTGTACAGAAAGCCCCTAACCGACAATGGCGGAATACGGCAGTGGCTGTTGAACGTAAGGAGAGCAACATCAACAGGTTTTGGTTATTGTCCCTTCTGTGCAAACAACTCATCGAAAGCATCTGCCTCTAGTGGGGTTAGGTCGGATAGCTGTTTTCAGATTTATCTATGCTGGTTTCTCCAACAAATCTATGAAACGGCATGATTATATAAGCAGCATTGTCATCTGTTATGCCTGGCAAGTTGCTTGAAGGGATGCGCGTTATCCACCCAGACGACACGACCTCTACAAGGTAGATTCTCGTATGCGTACTCTGCACAAAAGTATAGCAAAACGTACCCGATAACATAGCTTTTGCTGAAACTATACATACTACGATGTTATGCTACCGACTGTAATTGTAGAGTGGACTCATTAGAAATGTAGATGACTGCTTGAACGCCCGACACGAAGAGTACTTCATTACACTTTGCATCTAGTAGAAATGTTTATTATTAAATATAAACGTCAAACTTAAGCTCGTATCTACTACCTTAGGTGGTTGATCCTTATTAAACAGAATCCTGCGGGTCCAGTTTACGGAATGCAAAAATGAGCCTTTCATTTCTCCTAGACCATAAACCTGAAAGTAAAACAATAGGGAAGAGTCACCTATATTGGATTGACAAGTCAATGAAAACATATCAAGCGTACTCTTAAGGAAACTAATGAAAAAACTGACTCGCCAGATTTCAAGGCATCCACGTTTCGTGTTACCTTACCTAAATGTGTCAGGTCATTGTCTAACGTTCCTTCGAGCCTGATAACTAGCCAGCTACTTTTCGTTCGTTGCAGTTTGATGCCAGCGATTTTTGCGCGATCTTAATATAAAAAGAACGACAGGGAGTCTCAGGTTTAAGTAATTCAACAGTTTGCCATATTTAAAGTTGGGCGTTTGGGAAGTTCTTCAGCGATTTAAAAAAAAAGTGACTTTTTTGTCGATCGAGTTCCACTGCTTCGAACACTTCAATTGCTCCGGAAGACTGACTACAAGGATGTGCCAAAAATATTATTGTAAATTTTGCATTATGAACTTATTACAAGATCTTAATGGTAGCCATATTTAACTTTAACTTGGCTTAGTTAAAAAAACAACCTGTCTGGATTAGCTCTTAGCGGTCACGATATAGATAGCAACATAACTGTATTGTTTCTTCTAGATTGCGATCGCGTTATGTATGGAGTCCTTAAAATGCCATTTTGGCATAGGGACTAGGTCAGGAACAACCGTTTTCTTTTACAAATCAACTTCATTAGGGGTTCTATAACACCATTCTACGCTTGACTAATATTGGAAAAGGCGGGCTGCGGAGCATTATGCTAATTTCCATATTTTATACTGTGAAGTTCGATTAACTTATGTGCGGTAATATACGGCTGACCTTGATAAAGACAACTTCGTTTTTTGTTAAAGCACACAATGCGGACAGCCTATCCGAATTACGAGATTAAACAGATGTTATATTTTACCATTTTGGGTTAAGTCAATGTCCAACGAGATATACGTTTAATTTATTTACTATTATTGTATTGTCGTATGTCGTCCTGCCCGATTTAATTGCGCGTTTCAGCTAAGTTGCATACGCTGAGATGAAGGTCTGAATTGTCGATAAAGATTGAAATTTTGTGTCTGGAAAAGAACGAGTGCGACCTAAACTTAAGTCCGATTACAGGGTTAGGAAATTGCTCGCCCGTTTTCGATGGGATGATTTCAGCACCAAAGATAAGGGCCGAGCCGGTTGAACCTTTGACTATGAAGGCGCTGAAGTTCTCACCGCATTTTATCAATCCCCACGTATGAGCCCCTGTAAAACTGCAGTATAGACAGAATTTCAAGAGGCAGCCAAATCTAGAAGCACCAGTTTCATCCACCGGACAGACATCTTAGTTCCTCATGAATTGAGCAATCACCAGCTAATAGTTTTCTAAAAGTGGACGAAGATAGTTTTTTTCTTGCTAGATAATCTACAAGATTCCTACAATCAAGGTAATCTACAATCATTTGATTAAAGATATATCATAGTCAAAGCGTAATAGCACCCTTTAAATGAAACCTAGAACTAGAGGACGTTCAAACAAGGTAATCCTTTCCATTTCACGGCATTGTAGGGGAGCGCTATAGTAGGAGCTTCTATCAAAAACTAAACCGTTACTTTCGTCAAACGCTATGAACAGCTCGATCATCGAAGGCAATGTACCCGGATAAAGCGGCCAGCTCTAAGGATAATAGGTTCAAATAAGAGAGGAATTATGTTCTATTATGACAGTGCTTGGCTTTACGTGTTGCTAATGATTTGCTAAAAAGTCGGCCTTTAATTGCTATGTTTGGCCTATTCCAGCTTATAGCTTTAACCAGGCGCCTTTCGATTATCACAAGTCCCAATCGTTACAAACTCCTGCATGGGAAAAATGTTTCGTTACGCCTTTTATCTTTAATTTTTGTTGTTTGTTTGTCGCAGATTAAAATACTAACTTCTGGAGAAATTTTAATCACTTGGAAAGACAAACGGGGGCCATCGGTAGCATAGTATACTATTGATTGATGTTGTCTGGGTAAAGGTAAGTGAATTTTTCGATGAGAACTTATAGGACAAGCCAATATGTAATTATTTATATACTTGCAAATGTATTTAAAAGCAACTTGCGGACTATTCGCAAAACTAAAGAAGTAAAAACAGTGTCTGTGTTGACTCTCGTGATTCCCGTAAGTTATACTATAACTTATATATAACTATATCGTGTGTATTAACACGTTAACAAAATTTATCGCAACAATCACAATTTTGACCAAGATCACACTGATACTTTGTATCTATAGTATAACACCTGCTTTCAAGGCCATCAGGACAAACCTTGTTAGCCTTGAAAGTACCTTGATAAGCGTTATTTGTCCAATTGCATAGTTTTTATACACAAGAAAGACACTCCTATGCACTGTGAATAAGCATAAAGGCGACCAAGAACAGTCATGTTTTTTATCCATATATTTGTTTAACCTTAAAAAAAAATAAGTTCTGCACAATGACACCAAACAAAAACAATGTCCAATTAGTTTGGATTAGTGGGACCCGCGATACGGTACTAATACCACGTTTTCAAAACGTATCACCTTATAATGTGCATCAGTTTTCAGACATGTTCAGGTGAAGATCGAATTCTGACTTTCGAAGACGTTCACCCCCTAATTCTATCAGATTCTAGTCCATTCGTAGTTACTTTGGATCGCTTGTCTTGTTCAACCATCAGCTCGACTGAAATTGGTTACGTTTGTATCTAAGAATACGTCTTTCAACCGCTATTACTAACCGATGCAAAGCTTACCGAGGTAGAAACGAAAAATAGCAGGAAGATTATCAACATTCCATGCACTAAGTTTTATGTACGGTGTTTACCAAGGTCAGCCGACATCGGAAATAGAAATTTACTTTAATAAGGAACAGGTATTCATATTTAACTTGGAAGCGTTTCTGCTCTTTTTATATGTACGAATGGGCCAATCTTTCATCGGTGCCGACTTATTCTGTGGCTTGTTTACCTGGGAAGACGGAAGGTCACTGGAGATTTGCAAAAACTGATCGGAGAAGATCAGAGTTGACAAATGCGCAGCGAACCTGCGTTGAGAAAACAACCCGCGCACTCAGCTGTTAGTATCTGTTATGTGATATCATCTCACAACGTTGTCATATCCATTTTTTTTTCTTTATAAAATAAAATATCTAAATAAAATCAATAATCTCAACTGAATACACTCATTCATAAGAAGTTCAGAAGCTAACAGATGAAACACAAAAAATCGACGCGCGCCTTCAGTAGATGCGGAAGCTACAGCGAAGTGCGCTTCCTGGTTAAGCCTAATCACGGACCCCATTTACAGGTATGCACTTGTTTTTAGTAAGCAAACATCAAGTGCGGGCATGAAAGATGCAAGTTACTCCCCTATAGATTAGCTTGCCTACTCACAAGGCCGTCCCTGGGTTGCCCTTCTTTTCTTTACGGTAGACAGTGAGAATATTCTCTTCTTGTAGACTTATTTCAAAGCCCACATCGCGTTCCGTGGCTTTGTCAGCGATAGGCGGCAATGGGGGTACCCAACGTCGTCGAGAGGCGCTGTCGATCTACAACACATCCGATAACCAAGTGTATATAAGTATTACAACCATTTTCAGCTATCTTCGAATCTTAAGTAATATATATCTGTACATATATATTAGCTGGAAACAAAGAATCCTTTTTACAGTCTACAATAGTATTTCGGCCCGAGCTAGAAGGTATACGCAGAAACTGCTTGCAACTAGAAGAATAGAAGTACGTAACTTTGTCTGTAATGCCCAACTTTGTCGGCGGAGTGCCAATTGATCGGCCGATATAATACATACCGTTATTCTGGCAGTATTGTAGTCGTAATGAAGCACGGTCACAACTACTTCGACCTCGTCCCGTGGAAGTCCTGAGCGAACCTGCCGCTCTAGCTTCAGTTGTAATCCATTATTTTGCCTTAACAAAAGGTCAAACAATAAGGCCCAGCAATCTCAAACTTTTTTTTCTCCTATAGCAATATACAGCCGTTAATCATACTTAGCAGAAAGCACAATAACTTCACATAAATAGGCATTTAAATGTCTAGAATATACTAAGTGAAAATATATTTCGTTTTTAAAATTATCCATCCGACTTCTTAATATGACCACTCGTTCAATCATTTGACCCACCCGTGAATATTAGTACTACCTTGCTCGTAATAACTGATTCCTACCGTGTCATAGGTATTGCGCGGGTGTGGAGGCTGGACGCTTTTAACCCCTTCGAAAAGCGCGCAACCAGCTCACTCAGTCTGTCAGATAGAAAGGCTACCTAAGCCCCCAGATCGTTTTTATGCGTTGTGTATGCGTAAAACGCAACGCAAAATCGTACGAACGTACGGTACGATCGGTTATATTATTTTTAAATCCACAGTGTAACGCCACTTGTTGCGCGCAGTTTTATATTAGAACCCTATTACCTGAAGACCTTACCTAACGAGAACTATAGCACAAAAATTAACTTTATATATACGAAAAACATATACGTAATCCAACCTGGTCGATTTTGTTATCCTGTATCCTTGGAATCCATTAGGAGGAAAGTAGCAATGGGGTACATTTACTGGGTCTGGGTTATCACTGGACGGTTCCTTTTGCTTCGGTGAAGCGTCCCAGCAACATCCACGAGCAGCGCATCTGAATCATGAAACTCATTTATGTTTCCAATACAATCGCTAGTGAAGAATATCGTTTTATTTATTTGACTTGCTAATCTGACCTGGTTTAGTCATACGCCATATATTATTATATTGTCGGCACTTACGCAAAAATATTGGGGTTTCTTTCGGGATGGCAGTCAAACTTGTCCTCGTCTGTCGGATTAGCAGGACATTGTGGTTCAGGTGGCGGGCCTAGTGGCGCTGGCGTCGTCGTAGTGGTTGGGTTGATCAGGCCGTGGACATCCTGAATCGCCTTATTCAAAGCTTTCAGTGCTTCATCTTCAGACGATCTATGCACTCAATAGTATCATACGTTTTAAGATAGTAAACCTTCACAATTTGAGAAAAGTAGCAATCGCGCAGACACATATTTAAGGTGAAAGCTTTGATTCGAATTAACAAATATTTTAATAGCGTATTAAATAGGAAAGATGTTCGACAACAAAGGAGTAAGCAGATAGACGACCATCCGATCTTGTTCGCATTATATACATGACGCTTAGCGGTTTACGTATAAACTACCTGTTTAGCGGTCTATTGCTGTGAATTCTCTATTCTACCATAAGGGCGAACCGGACATAGCACTAGATATACGCGTGTGCTCTGGCTCAGACGTGTGTTAAAATATATAAGCATTGAAAGGTATTTTCAGTTCAGTGGATTCAAGCGACTGCATGGTAATATTGAGCTGTGAAGCTGAAAGAAGAAGCAGTCCTTCATACCCAAAGCAAACGACATTGGTAACAGGTCTTCTCGGTATTTAGCCTCGTTTAGATTATTAACAAATCTAATCACGCTGCTTAATAACGTATGTGCCCCAGGTTGCTATGTTCTTTCAGCTCATAGTTCGGAACCTATTTTATTACAAAAATATCTTCTAAGCCTAGCTCTAAAAACAAAGTTTTTGTTCGGCCTATAGAAATCGCACATTATAACTTAGATATATATAATCTCGTACTCGCCAAATACTACGGTTCTTCGGTTTTCGTGTATTTTGCTAATTAGGATTATTCAAGTAACGGACAAGGTAGCAACGCTACTCAACCGTCAAGGAAACATAAATGCTCATTCTCAGCTCAAAAAAGCTCTGTCTGTAAGTAATCAGTGTAAGAAGAGTGGCCAATTAAAATTGTTTGTCTAGCGGAGACGCTAATGGCCTCGCCACACCCGGAAAAACACGTGCAAGCCTTTTTTTCGTTTCTTCATTATATATGTATCGGTCAAAGGCCGTCCCCGTGCAACAGGCCATGAGCCTTGTCTGTCAGCGTTATAATCGTTGTGTTCCCAGTCACCTGTGCGAACTTGCCAAAGAGAACACTTTGGTTTATTGCAGAAATTGTGCTTAACCACGTGGTTATCACGTGTATATCTTCGAAACGAAATTTTCATTTTATCAATGGTCCTCTTCATAGTAGAAAATAATATAGTCAATCATAAGGTTCGATACTGATAATGGCTTGAAATCCGGCCCGTAGTGTGTTCCGTCGACGAAGGCGTCCATTTGTAATATGCCTTAATGATTTAAGGAGAAACAGTAGGATAAATCTACAAGGCAAATTTGCTTTCTCACCAGGTGGCGCTGGCGTTGGCCCTACGTTTTTACAATCTGACGATCGACCACTTGAAAAATCGCCCATTGGACGGCGGTGTACGTGAATAAAGTCGACCTATTTTCTTTTTAATTTATTTATTAATTTAGATTAGTATGGTTCTGATTAATAATTACAGTTTTTCTAATACATTAAGAATATACTAAATAGATGTCCTGGCAAAAATAGTGCTATAAATAAGCAGAGAAGTTTTCAGTCTATTTCATTATTATTGTTATTATTATTATTGGGAGTAAAACTTCTGCTTAATTCAATATCATGTCGACTTACCTCAATTTGAGAACTCCCGAGAGTGTACACGACGCCACCACGATCATAACAAGCGCACTAACAGCGGTTATGATCAACAGAGCGCCGCTTTTACTTTTCCAATTCATAGTAGAATACATGAAGGAACCGTTGTCAGAAGCCCCCGGCCTCTGGAAATTCATTATAAGAAGTTCTGCGTTGTCATCTTGTATTCAGTCGCCTAGCGTTTCTAGCAGTTTCACCATTTAAATAAGAATACAAAGGAATCAATATTATGTAAAGAGGGCGGTAAATTTCGATGTGTTAAGATCTAGACTTGAAAACTACTAATATAGGAGACATTGCTGTTTCTTATGGAAGGATACTATGGATGCTCTCTTGCCTGTAAAATTCGTTGACACGCAGCTCCTGGCGTTAGAAGCAAGTAATGAAAGGAATATTAGTTTAGTCCTTTGTAGCGGCTTGATAAACATAGCTATTTACAATTAGGACAGCTGCCGATGGTTGCACTATACGCCCACTTTCGTTTGTCGAGCATCAAAGACCGTTATCTTGCCTTAGCTAATCTTCTAATACCAGGAATCCATTGTTTTTATAACTGGCAGATTAATAACGTAATATAAGGGTTTGAAAAGTTACTGTCGCTGTAATTGAGAAATTCTTTCAAAATAATAAGTAGGTTCCTCTATCCTATTCTAGCTCGTCCACCAGTTAAGATTACCTGAGAATAGCCAAAGTGTGTCTCCATCTTACCATTACAATTAGAAATGAACCGTTTTTGATAGATGTCAGCTGCTTTTTTAGGCCCTAACATTATGATAACGATAGGTCTCAGCTAACGACACGTAAATTTCTACGTTTATATGTTGCCACACGTTGAGCCGATTGTACGCAGAAAAAAAAACTGCAGCTAGGTGTACCATTGAGCGTCGCAAGCTATTTTTCTACACGACTGTTTGAATGATATTTGTGCTTTGCTCTATTAATCTTGTTTTTTCCTTACGCTTTGAGCTCAACTTGCTAGATTAATTACCCAAGTTTAGAACAAAATAACGTTAGGTTTAACTTAGCGCACAAAAATTATATAGATATAAAGTAAAATGTTCTTTTAGTTACTTTCCTAATTAGATTCATATTTTTGGCATCTGATAGATGATCTACTGAACTTTTACATATCTGGCCCGTCTCCCTTCCCGAACTGATTCGTCTTTGTTTTGTAATGACATTACTTAGACGTTACCTCTTCCACGTAGCGTGGCTGACATCTAGAGCACGAGCGAGATAAAGACATCTTCAGCGACAGAATTTCCTTTATTTGAAGGGATACTCATCAATATCCGAACTGTCTACTTGTCCGACCACTTCCACAGTGTGACAGTATTTCTTTAAATTCATTAATTAACGATGAAGTGATGTTATCATGGCTAGGATACGACTGCCTGCTGAGTTGCTCCCAATTCGCTGTGGATATCCTCTGATTAAATAAGGTAAATTTACAGACAACCATAAACAAGCCTGTAAACTGTCCAATCCTACAGTTCGAAGAAATTCGAGCGTTTCTGACTGACGGTAAGACACTTGCTGCAACATCACATTCGTTACAAGGCACGAGACCACTGTCCTATCTCCCGTATACTTCGTTACAGGCCTCACAACATTGTAATGCCTGATCTGAGTATCTAGGGGACATATTACAGACCCTGAGCCATCTTATGTCCTAACCCGATGATTTTTTATTTTCCTCAGCGGCACATAGGTTCGAAATCCATCTATCCGAGTGATTACTTGCAGCCTAACTGCTAGCTAGATCTCATTTGTTTGAGTTTGGTGATTGATCTGGAGTTGTAGAAGCACTAATCAAATAACACAGAGTGTTATGCATACAGCTATTCTTACACCAATAGAACGAGTAAAAATCAACGCAAATCGTCATCGTTAACCGCTCTTCAGTCGGAGTAAATGGATCGCCCGAACTGTCTAGAGCAAAACGGAAAGATCACCTTCGAGACGAAGAAGGGCAAGACGGTTGCAGCCACAGCGGGCCAGTGGCAGGTGCGCCTTTGATTGTCGTTACGCATCAAAGACTGCACTCAAAGCGCGCTATGGAAAGGGTGCAGCACTGCCCTGTCGCCATTACATTAGCATCTTCAACACGCGATGCTACTATGATTTGGACAACGATTGTGATTTGTTACCCTCAATGGCTTGCAGACAAAGAGCCTGTTATACAAAAGGCACGCGCGCAGACGAACGAAATATCTTGGACGATCATCTTTTGTTGGACCCCGATGGAAAGAGCATTTAATCGCCTACCAGTTTGGGACTGTTTTTCTAGACTGGGAAGAATTCAGCGACCGTTCATCACGAACACCACACAAATTTAATGAAAAGATGCTCTGATCTCCCCATAGACGCCCTTCACCACTTAGCTGTCGTTTGGACTACACTTCTATTGTACCCGTTGGTGTCAAATCAGTTAAACAAACACCCAGTACTCGACCACTTCCAATCGTCGGAGTAGCTCGCCACTTATCGGGTTCGGCCACTGTAGTCGCAGCCGTTTTGATTCATAGAACAGAGGTCACCATAATAGAACAGTATAAGCGAATTCATAGTAATGGTCCCGTACTGTCTCGTTCTATTTGAAGTTCAATATATTCATCGTTTTAGCTTCTTATTGGTCTTAAATAAACTCTTCATTGTATTACCTGTCGTGTCCAAGTGCCACCCTTTTTCTCGCGTCGCGCTACATAAATAATCTCGAAGCAACGTCCATTGTTACCATCTATGCAACTTCAATTGCTCTGACGATTGTGAAGACTGCTTATGCTGCGCTTCATCGTCCTAAACTGGATTGTATAGTCACATATCAAATTGAATGAGCGGTGTACAAGTAATCATGGGTAACGTCGACATGAGCAAAGTCAAAAGCAGGTCCTCCTGCTACAAATGCAATACGGATCCAGAAGATACACATTATACCATACAATGAACTTGTCTTGTGAGTGGCAAATATGGGGCAATCATATTTTTTGACAGTTTCGACATAGCAGCTCGAACTTGCTGACTGATATTTTCAGTGCCGATGACAAAAATGCGTCTTCATTTTGAATCTGCGTTTAGGACAGAAGAGGACTTGCGAGAAAAGGCAAACGTAACTAGCGATAATCCAATGAATCTACGATGGCTGATTGTGGAATATTTTTGGGTAAAAACCCGCGTGATGTAACGATGAATTATGTGAGTTTGCTGAAGAACACATCCTATTTACCTCATACACTCGTTTCAACATGGCTAATTTATTATCCATGTATAGTAGTTGAACAACACTTAGCTTTAGTTTTGAAAGAGATATATCCTTTCAACTCGAATAATATTGAAATAGAGAAGGCCGTCCAAACACTGAGCTGTGAACCTGTTCAGGCTTCACCAGAGAAACGACTACCGATAAAGGCACAATAAAGCTATGATTATATCTGAACCTACCTACGCGGTTATTAAATATGTAATATTCGGGTTTCACCATGTTTTCTACCGAGCAGAGTCACTATGGCCTAATTTATACGTACATCTGTCTTTGAGTGTTGCGGCTCGCAATACCATGGAAGTTCATTATGATATGATCTCTGACTCAGTTACTGGTAGTTGTTAGAGCTAGGCGTATTTCGATTTCATATGTTTCTGTTTCTATATGTACATGTGTTAGCCTCACCCAAGTTTAAGTTAAAATATAGATTGGGAAAAGTACAGAACGGTATCCACAAAATGCACGCTGGAATTTCACCTAGCAACTATTACCTTGAGGTTGATGTAGACACACGCAGCCGAGACAAAGCCTATTGTTGTTGTTATCATTACGACGAAGTTTATCGAACAAACGTTAATAGGTACCTTGGCATTTTTTAAAGCGCAGTTCTTCTTAATCTCACAGAAGCTGGTCCGACCTAACCTATAAAGCTGATTTGAAATTGTTTTAACGCCATACAATGCTCAAATTGCTTAGCAGAGTAAGATCTTAATGCAGCGTTCAAACTTTAACACGTAAAGGTTCATTAACAGCAGATATGGCTAAATAAGCGCAACTCAATCATTCATCGGGCCGGTTTGCCATAGAATTGTGTGATAAGCTTTTCGCCAAGCGAAGGACAGTACTAGATGACACGCTCGTTTCTGTGAAGCAATGTGCTTGAGCAGGCTGGCTAGTAAAACAGCTCAGTCTGAACTTATCACTGCCGTTCAATTTGACTCTCTGTAATTTTTCGATAAATTCACACGCTTAAGCGTTTCCACGTTGCCAGAATGTATATATAATTGTAAAAACTAAGGATCAATCATTTCAACCTTGTGTGGTAATAAGAGTTACACAAGAAACGCTAGTAGGTTTCACACGCTAAATATATGCCACTTTCGGTAAAACAGGAATTTCAGTGTTTCATGTTTCACTGGGGCGGTAGAGAGGCTGGCGTCCGAAGCTCTTCTGGTAGAACCCTTTGTTTAAACCCGGATATTCGAGTCTTTTGAAAAAGAGCTTCGAGAGATAGATGCGCATGTGGAGAGAATTGTTACTGACAACGTCGGAAGGACATACGGAAACCGCAGACTGGCGAAGCTTAACGCATACCTAGAGACTTTACGTAATATCGGCCGAAATACGTTAGACTTGGAAGATTATGACGCACTGCAAGCCGAAGGGTTGTTAAGGACGGGTTCTCCCTTATCGTTTATCGGAAAAGGGTGTGTTAAGAAGTAAGTAGCTTGCTATTGATTTGGGCTTGGGCTTGGTCTAACCTTCGAAGCGAACGATCGAACAAAAAACTAGATCAAGACGTGCGTCGACACAGCAAAAACATCAACACCCAAAACTTGTCTGCAAGTACAATATTAGAAACAAGATTTAAAACTTATAAATGCTTTCTTATAAAGGCAAACTGATCACTACATAGCTCCCTGCATAACGTGCAAACCATGCAATAAATAGCATTGTTCCAAATAGATTAATCGATAATAAAGTACTTTATTTTCAATAATTTATATCAACTATGTACAGTAAGGTATAAGGATAAGTGATCGCCATATTCTCCTGGCCACAGAGAAAAATTTCAGCCTAACGGGTACAACACTGGCCACTTGTGACTGTCTACGATCTGTCACATCGATGCCAAGACGCCCCTGTCCTCCTTTTTCTTCTTCTAATCGTAGTCCTAATAGCGTTAAGAGAAAGACTAAGGGGCGAACATTTATGGAAAGTTCCACACTCGTCACACCGTAAGACGAAACAGCTACGGTGGGGAACACGGAACTTACGGGACAGTTTGTCAGGACGATACGGGTTTTATCACGAGCGGGCTAAGCCCGTACTTGCCATACGCATCGTCTCACATTCAGTTTCTGAATAGAAAAGGTAAACTCTAGGCGGTCCAAGACTTCCGACAGATCTACAGGACTGTTGGAATTTATTTAGCCAAACGAGCTACACATCCAGAAAATAAATGCTACGTCAGATTGAAAAGTACTATACCATTCGCTTATCAACTATTGAGCATAAAGACTGGGGCAAAGCTATTCAGAGCTCAGAAAGCACACCTATGATAGACTCGCGGAAAGCAAGCTCAAATATGCTTATCGGCGTACAATGTCGCTTCTTCCACATCGATTTTTAAACGAGACTTGCATTATCGTATTCTTGTATTTTATGGCCCTTTTTTATTTATAATTTAATGAATTCATAACTAGGTTTCGATGATCGATTATTATTACGGCTGGTCCTGCTGCAGGCTTTATAAGTGTTACCCACATGAAAATAAATCTAGCATGTTTGCCTATAGGTAGCCTCGAGATATCATGTCCGATGTACATGTGGAGGATAGAATTTGAGACCTAAAAAATCTAGCTATAATCCGGGCTACGAATTTACGCATTGCAACCTACTACGACGCAATTAAAGTTTCCTCCACAATATTGATTCCTTACTGGACCGATAGCAGATGGATTAGACTAATGAACTAGTTAGGATAATCCTGTTTTACTCTACTTCGAGGAGCAAGATTGTAGAATGAGGTATCACAAACGGTCAATCAGTAACATTATCCTGATCTAGAAATGTACCTAAGTCTATGCAGAACAAAATGAATCAGTGGTCCCAGCGTTTACTTCTGAAGATCGACATAGATTGCGATATCTGTGTGAAAGCAAAATATTTACTAACTATAGCACCAAATAGCTTTCGCCTTGTCGCTTGATGACCCATAGGTTTATCGCTGAATCGAGCCCTAATGATCTAGCTTTTGCCTTCGATACGATTTCAAATAGAAAAAAGTAAACAAAGTTACAGTAAATAGATATTGAAAAACTTTTCCTAAGCGGGTAATTTTACTTTGAATCGGTCATTAGTCAAGTAGTCTACGCTGCGTGGAGGCACCTACTTCTAATTGATATACCCGGTTATGATAAAAATCTCTCGGAACATCCAAACCTTTGCACGTGTTTACAGCGTCTAAAGTTTTCAGCTATAACTTCTTTCCAAATTTTTCCATCACTTCCAATGTACGGCAGGTAATTTTAGTTGCTATAGCGAAACAGATTCGTTGTTCGAAGTTTGTTGCACGAAATTCAAGCTACCCTAAGATTAGTTCTATATTATCCTTGAAAGTTACAAACTTGATACAAACGGCATCATTTGCCAAAACGAATCAATATTTTCTAAAAATGAATGAATTAGACAACTGTTGCCGGGAGATCAGCAACTAGATGAAATGTGTACACAGTTAATATCGCATCGCTTCCTAAACGACAATAGTGATAACGTAGCCGTACTATCTGTTAACAATGGCTGGATTGGGCCGCGCCGCCCGAAGAGTTACTATCCCTGGGTACAATCTGGTAAGTGATAAGGTACTCAGGATAAGCCTGTTCACCCCGATAGACAACGTACTCGGAGAAACGGAGTCCGCCAGCGCTGGGTCGTCCGATAATCGAGTGATGTCCCGGAGGCGCATGGGCCACCTGCAACACAATAGATATTATAGCAGTAATAGTCAATCGTTGCCATGAAGACAAAATAGAACATATTAAACAAAACGCTATTTACGCCTGAGATCTGCTCGACCGAAGCTACACAGTATCGATCGTTTGCATGAACAAGTGTGCGCATAGCGGGTTTTTTAAAATAGCACCTCCACCATAAATTCTAGGGGTCAATGCGACTGAAGCATGAGAAACAACGAGAAAAATTCTTCGCACCGCAGTTAGCCTTGAAGAAGAAAATGTATCTGCGGACAATTCTCGTCAACACAATAGACAACAACGGTCGATACCAAGCACATTTTGTTGTGCCGTTAACGGGCCTGCAACTAACCTTCATAGCGCTGAATTGTAGAAATGCTTTGCCTAATGTGACTCGGCACATAAGCATTTGTCGCGGGCAGTGATAACACGAGCGGTTCTTATGCGTCGCACAACCGTTCCCGCCGCAGTATCCAAACACGTATTGATTGCTCTTTGAAGAGTTCTCGGCAAAATAGATCCCTGCACCGAACATGCCGCCCATATATGAAAGACGCTCATCAAAACCTGTTGAAATCAACACAAGGCAATGAAACGCTGAAGTCGCTCGCGGCGAAACATGTTTGTACTGCATTGACTCAATAAGAATGTGGGCCCGATTAATTCCTCGACGTTACGTCGTTTCCTTCACGCACCTTTATGTACAATAGCCCCAACAAATGGAGATCCATGAAAGAGCATCCGCTCATTAGCGTTACCGTAATTTTCTTCGGTCACTTCTTTACGTCGGTGGCAGTACCTCTCAAGCAAACGATTATTACGCACTTTTTGAATTTTCAATATATTATACCTAAAAGAAGGCAGCAACAAAACGGAGCAAACACGTCATGTTACAATGGTATCCATAATTTTCTTAAGACATTTACCAACTGGCAACATGCACGTTTTAGTTAATATCCATATACACTACAGCTCCTATCTAAATATGTTGCTCGCTGTTAGTATGTGTATAGCAGAAATATGAGCAATTGTATTTAACCCAGCCGCAGAAAGGATAATATCGAAAATGGCATTAAACCTACTCGTCACAGACATTATCAATTGCACGTCATAGTCAATGAGCGCTTATAACCCCACAATTTCTAAACGCTCTGGATTATATATTTTCCAGTATTTGCTATCGTTTCAAACCTAGCAAAGATTCCGCCAGCTTGTCCTCCATCGACGTGCTCGCGTATGCTTCCTTGCATCTCTTCAGCGACTGCTAGGAATTCAATATCGTCAGCTGAAAGATCAATGAGCATGGTTGATGAGCCTCCGGCGGCATTTGCCGAAGCCCCGACAGTCGATAGCAAACTTTCGGACGTTGCGGGTGACGATACTACCCTATCACTTCCTGCCAAGACAATTTTCTCAACCCCTGTGCGGCAACCAAAAGGTGAGAAGTTCACAGTTACATAAATTAGTGAATCAGGTAAAGATAAATTGTCAGACCAAGTTCATCTCCATTTAACAGACGTAAAACGTATTCTTCCTTTGAATAATAATTATTGTATAGAAGTTATCTGGGCGATCAGAAACTGCCTACAACAAGTTAGGCCAGATTTCTGATAATCTCTGTAGTATGTATTTCACTTAAACAATATTTTGCATGATGAATTGGTATAGAAAAATAATCCTACGGCAGATGTTCAGGGCATGAGGAATAACTCATTGTTGATGTTTTTATAATATCTTGCAACTACAGTGACAAGCAGCTCCGCATTAAGTTGACCTACCTTTGATGATTTTATGACGATGTCCGTAGGCGTGAACTCCGACTTGTTTAAGTTCTTGATGACCCATTTCTGCTAGAACATCGATCGTGATGTGTTCCAGAATAAACAGACCTTTTAGACTAGCCAGATTTAATTGATCCAACAATTCCAGAACTTGTTGTAGCTTTGGAGAGTTACCCGTTGCTGAAATGTCGGCTGTTCCCACAAGCACACTAACCCCATTACTACCATTACTGCTACCGGCCTTAATACTGCTAATGGACGTTACTGGCGCCGTTTCGGACGACTCTCGCAAAATCTGTGTAACTTGAGCCTGTTGTTGATGTGGCTGCAGTTGTCGTCGGTGCATGGCAAGAAGGCTAATTGCCGAGGGTATATCAAGGTCGACATACTGTTCCTCCCCCACACATGTGCTCTTTACAACCGCTTCGCTAGAAGAACCTACAGGGACTGCCGGAACAAGAGTTCCGTTCTGGCTACTGAAGTCAGTGACTGGAATCAATTGGCCCCCATTTTCATCATCAATTCCACTGGAGGCGTTAAACGAGCCAGCATTGTTCAGGCTGTTTGATTGCCGCTGATTGAGTTGACCCTCGCAACCGTCTAACTCTTGCTCCAATCTCGTATTGTCTGGAGAGGCTTTCGATTCCTTGACAGCAGCATGATTAAGGTGACTGCCCTTAGCTGTAGTTGCAAGAGGAACTGTGGCAGGAAGGGAATCTTGAAGGAGACAACATACATCCTCAGCAGTCGCTAGTTCTAATGGGGTTTGTCCCTATAAATGAATTAATAAACACGCCTACCAGTTATTGTAATAAACTTTAACTCCGTTGCTACGGCAATAAAAGTAAAAAAAAAAAACCAAACTGAGGATCTTTCTCTAGATCACTCAAATGGTTGGCACTTAGCATTCTTGAAAATTAATTAACTAAGTTCATATACGATTGATCATACCTGTTCACTCTTGTCAGTGCCTTATATACCTTGTATATTTTTTATGTATATACTTTATAAGATTTGTAAAAATTCAGTGCCATTAGGCTGATACCGTTGACGCGAGCAAGTAGCGTGATCATTAACTAAGTAACGATCGATTACAAATATAATTATTAAGAGGAAAAACTCATTGACAATGCTAATTATCTATTAGATCATAATAATTGTAGAAAATCTATCTCGACACGGCAGGTTATTGAATCGCGGCACGTAGGTACGGTATTACTAGAGAAGTAATAGCTATCATCGTTAAGACTTATATTGGAACCTATATTATGTCTTAATACAAATTAAGGATGTCGGAGAGTAAAAACGATATCGGTAAGTGTAACAGCACTACGTACACATTTATTAAAGTTATTAAACTGTGCGTCGTACCTCGTTGTTTTTAATAAGTGGATCAGCTCCGTGAGCGAGAAGAAGAGAGCATAGCTGAGTGCGGCCTTTCTGCGCCGCTTCATGCAACGGCGTAAAGCCCCAACGATCACGAGCGTTAACCGATGTCCCAAACCTGAGATAAGTCGTAACGAGCAACGAAGAATAAGCCATTACAATTTACGAACATAGGACAATGGAAATATTTTTCAATCACACTAGAAATCACTGTATCCCCGTAGTAATTCTATTACTGTCTATGGAAGCTTGATTGTAACTCGAATGACTGGCACTTGGCTTATATACCTAGGCTCCAGCTATCCAAAGTGTTCTAACTCTCGCATTGTAAATAGTGCAGTAGATTAATTAGTTTGTAGCCGTCTACAAAATGGGTCGTGATAAAACTGACTTCTATATATGAACACTAATTGTTGAACGCTAGTATCGAATAGGTCTCGCATATTGGGCGTACAACTTTCGAAAGTATTTTAGACCCATAATTGACTATATAAAAAGTGGATAGGAGATGCTTATTGGAGTGTGTACAGTTATGACATTGGCCGTGCTTACAAAGGCAATTTTCGGGGTGTCCTCTTATTCTCAAGACATCTAAAATATTATGCGCAAAAACATTGTAATGATTATATATATATAGCTGTGACTTAATGATGAAACTATGGGGTGAGTTTGCTTGCCGACTCAGCGAATTAAGATAGTGGGATCAATCAGCGAATCTTGATTGTGGGTCCAACATCCCGTCTAGCCGGTAAGCATCGTTCACTCACATAGAACTTTTGGATTTCTTATAACACTCACTTGATAAGGAGGGCAGCGATGTCAAGATGTCCATACGATGAAGCATTGTGCAGAGGTATAAGGCCACCTTTGTCTTGCGCATTGACGTCCGCTCCTCGCTCTAAAAGGTACTCCAACACTTCCACATTATTGTACCTATTTTGTTGTTGTTCCAGACGCCCGCACAATCGTATAGAACGAAGCAGTAACACAGATGTCAACACATAATTGTAAATCGACATATAATAGTAAAGCTAGAATGAACGTACGGAGTGCTGCGAGTACACATAAAATACTTAGGTCCGTTTTGGATATAATAGCTAGGTTTAATGCCATCCAAATGAAAAAGAATAATGTTTATCGTATGACCGATTGCAAGAGCTCATAGTTCAAAGGAGCTAGCCCTCGTAACGTGTTTTTTTTCAATTTACAATTTGATCTATACAAATAGCCCTAGTCATGTGTAACCTAACATCATCAATAGCTACAGGCAGTCATGTTTCAAAAGGACAAGGCCACTTACCCTGCCGCCAAATGTAGAGGTGTGGAATTGCGGCCCTGCTGATCTCTACAATTAATATTGGCAGGTGAAAGTAACTTTACCAAACGACATAATTCGCCCCTTTTGGCAGCCTCCAGCACAGCGGCATCGCCCCGCAGTGCATCTGCTACGTCCTGCGAAATTAACACACAGCGAGCTTAATCAGTGGACATCTTATACACCTACCATTTTATTTTAACGAGCAATACAAAATAGAAAACACAAGAAAGCCAACCTGGTCTCCTTCTTTGACGAGATCGAGCGGAGTATGACCATCGCGGTTTTTTTTTGACGGATCAGCTCCATGACTTAGTAGAAGTTTGACGATGTCGTACTTCCCCTACAACGTATCATTATGATACCGGAAACAAATTAATAGTGTTAGTTGCTGATTGAGCTAACAAACAGAAACGCTTTGTCGTCGTTGAAAAAATACGCGTATTCCCCTACCTCCATATCGGGCAGTCTGGTACTGCCTCTTAATTAAGTGCTAGAATTTTTCCATGGTAGCTATGATATGTTTATTTCGGCACCATTTTTTTTTACTAATGCTAAATGTAGTTGTCTAAAATACCCAATTGCGCCATACAATTAGACGATAAGAGAGGTAAGACGCCAAAGCATATGTCGGAGTATTGGTTCAACGATGGAGTATACTGTTTGAGATAATTGAAACATTTTAATTTTTACCCAAACAAGGCTGTTGCAATAGGTAACCCGACCTCTCGTCTAGGTCGAGTCGCTACATCTTATGCAAATAAATTAAGTAAAAAAGCAATCGAGCGCATAACTTAAATCGAACAAAACTTTTCAAAACGCTATTGCTCGCATCCTACATTACGATGTTGCTATGCTTTAATTATGACTTTATGAAGGCGCTCGAAACGTTTTTTACCTTCGCCGCAGCTTCGTGTAATGGACTGAATTTCCAGAGATCTGTTACGTTGACGTTGGCTCCGTGACGAACAAGAAGTAGGGCCACTTCCCGGTGACCATATGAGCACGCATTATGCAGAGGTACAAGGCCGCCCTTGTCTTTAGCGTGGACATCCGCTCCGGATGTTAATAGGCGCTCTACAACGGAGACCTATCGATAACGGGAGCCCACATCGATAGTTAGATTCTTGTCTCGGCGACGTTCAATATGTACATTCAGTTACTTGTTTTTGGAAAATGATTCCCCGCTTGACGTTAGTCACACGAAGTGCTCCAACTGAATACCTTATAATTATGCAAATGGTTGGCAAGTATCTTTAGGGAAGCTTCAGTCTTAGTAGCCTCATCAGATGATAGCCTAGTAGATTCGCTCATGATTGAATCTTTTGGTGAAAGCTAGTCTTGACAACTTGGCCCAGTATCGAAATCATTCACTTATCGCAGAGGGTCTTAGAATACTGAAAAGCAGGATGACCGATACAAGGTGCACTCCCACATGTGAGAGAAGACATCGAATAATCCATGTGCTTTACCAAAAAGACATGGTATATTTCCTCAGTCAATGGGATCACACGAACCCTATTGTAACCGGCTGCAAAGTGTAAAGGCGTTGATTGCCTCCCATCGAAGTCCCGACAGTTGACGAGTTCCGGTCGGGCGTTCAAGATGCGATCCACAATATCGACATTCCCTGCTTTCGAAGCTTCCAATAACTGATATTCAGACTGGGCAGCTAACGAATCTTCTGGTAAATCCGATAATAATTTGCTCACCTAAAAATGCTCACCGTATAAATAATAAAAATTAGTGAGAAGCAGTACTGTGTGTCCACGAGGAAAAAGGTGACAGCGTTTGGGAATGGTGGCTATCAGTGTATTACCCTTCAAAGTGAGTAACATGCACGTACAAAAACGCATATTTCGCACGCTCTATTTACGTACCAGTACGTACGGTTCGATTTCAGTACATGACATTTTCGTTCAAAAATATAAATAGCCGTAAACATCCTTAATAGAATATTCGAAGCAGTGACAGTAAGCTCATACATTTACACCAACGTATTTTAATATTGAATTCTCTCAGCAATCATGTACTTAGTTGAGTTTGTGCTTTCGATATTGCCTATGATTATTACATGTTTATTTACGGGAACAGCTTGCACTCACTTCATGGTTTACTACTTGGGCAGGGATCATCCCGTGGACATTGGGCGTTCGAGGATCTGCGCCGAGAGCCAACAGGGCTTTCGCCGCAGAAACAGCAACTGGACCAGCACCCCCCGCTCGTCCACAACGGTGTAACGGAGTTTCGCCGTTTCCATCGACCGCGTTTAATTTGGCTCCATTGCCTTTATCAAAAGTCATCCAATAAAAGTAATGAACAATTTCTTGAGTGTTGGAAATACAATTGCTATAAATTATTATAAGGCTAAATTATTATAGCTCGAATTCTAGAATGGATCAGCCAGTTCAGACAGGTTTTTTTTATATTTGAGTGTAACTTACGCGCAAGTAAATCGATCACATCGATTAGAGCGTGGTCTGCGGCGAGGTGCAAAGGCGTGTCCAGGCGTTTGTTCCGTTCACTCAGGGGAGCTCCCTTTCGAATTAAAAGCTCAACTAATTTACGGCGGGAAGACGCCGCTGAGAAACCAGCAGCAGTTGCAGAAGTTCCCCCGCCGCAAAGAGCATGCTTCGATGGGCTATTGTTGCTACAACATAATAGATGAAAAAAGTTCATCAGCCAAATTGTATGCTCAATTTGCATATATATTCGTATTGTTGGGAGTTGGGAAAAAGGGCTTTCCAGGCAAGGCCTTCTTTTTTTTTTGCATAAAGAAAAGCTCCTTGTATGATGAAGCGGTTCGAGTAAGCTAGCTTACCTGCTATTGTGACAGTTATTCATTACGGTGTGATTATTGTTGCCGTTGAAGCTAGAAGAGATGGTTGAGACAGAGCCAGCAATAGCACGATGAAGGGCTCCGTCTCCAGTTAATGTGCACCTAAATGTTATGACTTCAGACAAGCAGGTCAGTAGCTTCTTCACGCGAGATACATCACCGATACGACATGCCTCTAGCAAACTATAACCTCGGTATTCGTAGAGTAAGCTAATCGGACAAAAGCCACAAAGATACCAATTTAATAAACGAAATTACAGAAGCGGTTCAGGTAATCGCAATAACAAAGGTTGGTTCTATTCTACCATCGAAGGGTGTATCCTAATATCGGAGTTTGTATGTAGCTGAAGCTAAGGCCGCGCGGTTGAAGAAAGCAATATACTGGGCCACTACTATCAGTCTTTCTCTACGAAAGGTGTTAAAGTTTTCTTTTTTAGGCGTTGTTTATGTGGAGTAGTGCCTAAAAAGATACTAGCTCCTTAAAATGAAGAGACACTATTGGATAGGTATACACGTTTGTAGAACCCAGAAAGCCCCTACAACTAATACTTAGTATATTAATCTGGAGGCTAGTCAGGGATAATGTGTAATACTTGAAAACTGAAATACATGTATGCATGAAAGTAGATCTAGAGAACTGTACTTGTATGCCTGTACCTTTGCTGTAGTTCTCTATTGGGTGCCATCTCGATTGCCGTTCGTCCGTGGCAGTTAGAGAGTGAAGGATCGGCGCCATGAGCCAAAAGTAGCTCACACACCTCTCGCCGTCCCTTAGCGGCAGCCTCATGTAATGGCGTAAAGGCCCATAGGTCACGAGCATTAACATTCGCTCCTGCTGCTAATAGAAGCTCCGTAACCTGCAGTGACATTTTACGTGAAAAGAAAGTGGAGTTAGCCCACTTCAGATTCACTTATTACGATTTACCTCGAGAACAACGTGCCATTAGCGATAGTAGTTATACAAATGAGATGGATCTTTGAAGATCTGACTTGATTTGGCTAATGTAAGTTTATACAAGTATAATATAAAACGAATAGCTAGCTCACACTATTAGAGGTCACACTGCTGAAATGTAATTTTCAACTCTACTATGTCTTATAACCTCATGGTGTCCATAGGAACAAGCATTATGCAAAGGCACGAGTCCGCCTTTGTCCTTGGCATGCACGTCAGCACCCCGCTCCAAAAGAAGGCGCACAACTCTAGCACGATTGTATCCAGCAGCCAAATGAAGTGGAGTCGAGCGTCTTCCGTCACTCGCATGACAATTGACGTTTAGCGGTGAGAGTAACGCCCTTAAACGCTCCTCATCCCCAGAACGTGCGGCCTCCAATAGCTCATCCTAAATAGAAGAAATACTCGCATATATATATATATATATATATATATATATAGACTTTGATCTTGATGAGAATTACTCTATGACAATTATTTTTTAAATCATATTACAAATATGGTGAACTGATATACGTACAATGCAGGGAGAACAAACTTAAAAATGACATAATTAACAGCATGAATGCACGCTAAGTTAAACGCCGCTAGGGAAAGCAGCTATTAGTCTATTTAACGGTTGGTACAACGCTGACAAACTCGACAAGCATTGTTCAATAGCTTCTAGTAGACCAAAAGTAGGTACAAATTAAAAAAGGAAATACGTAGTAATGGGATGTTACTTTTCTATATTCTCCGGTTAAAACAGGACGCGTGGACGGATCTGCAAGGTCCAGCGGGGTTTTCCCGTCGGAATTTCGGATAGTCGGGTCTGCTCCCCGTTGTAGAAGTACAAGGCATACGTCAATTTTGCCTGCACAACAGAAAAGCGATCAGACATCGAGGAACGCTTAAATTATGTTTCGCCTTTTATAGACACAATTTCGAAATGAAAGAAATCAGGATAGGCCAAAACAAATCTCTAGTACATGATACAAGTGCGATAGCTTTCGGACACAAATGGGATGTGATACTCTGCCTCGAATTGTCTTAAGTTATCTAGTGTGTGACCTTTGGTAGCGGCTTCATGTAACGGGGTGTAACTCCAATTATCGCGGGCATTAGGATCAGCTCCAGCAACAAGAAGAAGTCCAACAACTTCGGCATGGCCAAACGAGCACGCGTTGTGTAACGCAACAAGGCCTCCGTCATCACGAGCTCCAACAGTCGCCCCATTAGCTAGGAGCAATTCGACGACCTCACGACGGCCGAAACCTGCCGCGAAATGTAGACAAGTACTTTTCCGACCCGATGTGTCTCTGCAAATACGAAAGTTTATTGCTTCTCCAATTCAGATAGAAATGCTGTTGGTCGTAACGTCATTGGGTCTGTAGCCGACCTGCTTCTCGTAAGGTCTGCTAGTTCACAGTGGACTCAAATTAAGACTTCGAGACCCATTGAATTACTAACGTTAGCTTATAGTGAGCCCATATTTAATTTCCCTGAATATCATCACACGACGTACTGACCACTTAACTTTATATACACATACTATAGTAGATCGAAAAATAGCTCCCGCCAGTCAACTTATTGACTTTAGACGCTGCCGTCTAAGCACATAGAAAAATAGAACGAGAAGATTTTTCCTCAAACGTTCTCTCATGAAACGGATACGACAGTTGGCATAAAAGCTTAAAAACGAATCGGAAAAAATCGTTATGAGGATCCTCCGTATTACCTGGCGTTGACATTGGTAGGTGCAAGCAATTTGCGTACCCGCACGACGTCCCCGTTTCTGCAAGCTTCAAATAACTCTCGTTCGCATGGGGGGGAGTTGGTAGTAGCACCACCTGCGTTTGTTGCGTTTGTGTTTCCACTTGAAACAGATGATCCCGCCAACGCCAAGTTCTCGCCGCCTACCGCCATTGTTTTATTGTTGTGGCTGTCACCGTTATTGAAAGCGGTTATCGAAAGCGCTGCTCCAGAGGAACTGCTTTTCCCACAAAACCCTTCGACGACAGCTCCAGCATTTAACGGCGACGAAGTCGATGCGTTAGGAACAGCAGCAATACTTTCTGTCAATTCATTGGCTGCTGTTCGAAGAAGTGGTCGGCGAGACGAAGCAGATTTGGACATGTCGGTGCTGGAATAAAAAAAAAAACGAAATAGGACAAAACACTTGGAATGGACAACAACAAGACGAACTAACTGTTCAGAGTTTATTGATACAAAAAAAAAAAAGCATTTTCTTTACTTGGTTCGATGACACTGTATCCAGGTACTTTTTATTGCTTTACTGATTAAAAGGGAAACTGTAGTCAAAATATGGATGTCGTATAGGTAGAGAGACCTGTTTCAAGAACTCCTTTTTCATTGTAGGGAGATGCCCACAGTTAAACGATGCTTTGATCCGAAGAAGTACTTCACCTTGAACACATTCCGCCTAAATGAATCCAAAATCTGCAAATAGACCTACGCGGATTACGTGCAAGAGTGTTCAACAATCTGGAATCATCATCTCTGCTTCTGATCAACGTACTTTCGCAAGTTATCATCACAATCAAAATGAATCATGATGCATACCGTGACGAGCAGTTCTTAAGGGAATGTCAAATGATATAAAGTTTAATAACTAACTACTTACTGTGTTAATCGAAAACAACTATTAAGAACGACAGCATGTATTATACAGTGGTAATGCGACAAGTGAATTTGCGCTCTTCCATTCTTGAGGTGCTTATGAATACGGTTATCGTCTTACACATGTAGTTGACGTATCAGAATGTAAGAAGATTAATCTCTGACTAGCCTTATCTTCTGTTGAAGACCCGCTCGACATTTTAGCGTGCTATAGTTACTCTTGTTGTCTTTCAGCGGAATCCCACAAGATATAGAGCACTTTAATTCGATTCTGTCGCAGACTTGGCGCTCGTATGAGAAGCTTTTGAAGAAGACCAAATGCTCAGCAAGGACATTCATCACTGCCGAAGGTGAGGCATCATTGGCATCACTTTCGGAGTGATGAAGAATTTAATGAGTCAAATGTCGATTAAGAGCCGACCGTTGCTCTGTGAAACTCACTTTCGGCGGCATACTCATTTCTACTCTATCAGATCAAATAAGAGTTTGCTTACGTGGAAAGATGTCATTAGATTGAGTATGAAAACAATGAATTTTCAAGTTTGACACATGTTTGCTATTATTTAATTTAGTTTATTTTTAGCTTTCGGTTGTCTTTTAAGAGCCTATGTCTGTTAGTGACCGCTTGTACAATAACAACAGAAATCTTTGACTTCCGGTTTGAATTGATATGTTAGAAGCTATTTTCACCACCTACCGTAGCTATAATATTTTGAAAGAAATAATAATAATAGTAACGACACCAACAATGTACGATGACCCTCGAATCTAATTCGATTGAATAAGTTAGTATCGGAAAATTTGAAACGGATTCGTGGTCTCCCTCCTGTCCATGCGTAAAAAGTATCCATTTTTCCCTTAAGGAAAATGCTCTTCACATGAAGACGTTCATTTGAACTAACGAAATTTGATAATTTCCGGTCAACATAGCGGTATTCATAACAGCATAATAAGCATTGCTCAATTGACCGCCGCTTTTGGCTAAATCCGTCTCTCGTGACTATAGTTTCGCCTGTGGCAAATACGCTTTCCTTTGCTAAATCGTACATATTTATGGTATATCGTTCTGCTTGTCTGAGGGAGAACCCCATAAAAAGGACAAGAGATGCTGCTTATTTTTCAGTCCCACCAAACTCATTGAGAAAGCCTTCATTAAGCATTCGTACATTCTTAAATATGTTGTAAGTATCATAAATGAAGACTGTTGGATTAGAGACGACAGGAACAAGATCGAAAGGCTTAGGTGTACTTATACCGTCAGAGAAATGATTTTACGAAAAATCTATTTTAAGTTGATTTCTATTCAGTTTCCTCGGCATATATCTCCATAAACAGAGTAGCCAACCAAAAACCATCGAGAAAAAGGGGCTTTGGCTCACCTATATGCCGGAAGTTATTCTACAAACTTATCCGGATTGAAACATAATAAAATATACGTAAAGGTCGCAACAGAGCGTTAAGAACAAATCAACGACATAACTGCTATTAAAGGACTACGCGTGGCATTGATTCCTGTTATTACATGATCATAATAGCTGCCGATCTACTCTGAAAACGCAAAAAACATCGCTTCAATATGAGATACTGTTCCGGTCATATTGCTGGCTAACTGACATGTTGATTTGTTATCTCAAATGGCACTTCCAAATATTATTCGCACCTCTAATTAATCCATACTTGTGATACACATGTTTATAACACATCCCCTGAGCAATCGATTATCAAACTGAACGAAAATATCCAGCGTTGAAGTAAACAACAACAATAAAGGGGCAGTATAGAGCATTGACGGTTCAAGCCTGTAGATAATAAATCCTTAAGAGCCATTGGATTATGATCCGAGTGAACAGCTTATCATTACGCAAAATTAGCCTTGAAGCATCTGCACCGTTAGCAAATGAGAGATTTCTTGGAACTTCTCACAGTGAACCTCGTACTATACACAGAAAAGGGAAATTACTCACTGGCATTCTACCCAGCACCTGCGGCACCTTTCTACCCAGCCAGAGTCACAGATGTACGTCGTTCGCAACAGCAGATTCGTTTCTGGTTACAGTTGCTGCAGCTGCAGCAACTGCTTGTTCATCCATTCGATAATATGGAGTTATTAAACAGAATTGGAGAATTCTACTTCAGCTGGTTTGATCTAGAGACAACTAGATGCAGCACAGCGCCAACGGCCTATCAATGAAACAACACCGTCGTCAGCGTTACATACCCGTAGCGAGCAGGTGAATGAGCGGGCATTGTGCGCCAGACACTTCACACTGCTAGGTTTCCCCTACGAAACATGAAAATTTCTAATATTTTGTTAAATATATTCGATGTTTAATCGAATTAAATGAAATACTCAAGTGAAGTGATCTACGAAACCATCGTTTGCGACAAGCAAATAATTTTTTGCAACTGATGATTTGTTAAAACCGTACGGTCCTAAGGTTAATTTCAAGTTCAATGTCCGATACTGCCGTTAAGTGCTGCTTCAGACAGCTGACCCCGTACAAATTAAAATTGAATGCGTTTATGCCTGATCCCCGACCTAGACCACCTCAAATGTTCTAAAGTTTAGAAAACATGTTACTAATACGCCATCACGGTGACAACCTGTGGGAAGGCAGTGGGACAAAGGGAATGGCAGAGCTAACAAACGTGCAATGGCAATTTAGCAGCTCTCATTATAAATGATAATTCATATATGTTCGGTTATTTATAATTGATCATTGTTCATAGGATTGCTGTAAATAAGTCAACTAAAAACCGGAATCGACGTAAATATGTTATCATCACATCATTTGGCCTGCCTCCAGAGTAAACTCCATTCAAGCAGAGAAAAATAATAAAAGTAAGAAAATACTTGTTATCTGATTTTTTTTTACATATTCAGGAATACATATTCAGTAATAATAGCACCTTAGAAAACAGTTCACAGATGAACATTACAAACTCGGTTTTTGCTGTCACGCCAAATCAGCTAATTCTTACGGAAGTGCTTGACCAGAACGATTGACGGCGCAAAATCTTCAGAACACAATGCCTTCAGAATACGGTAAGAATTACCTGTAAAATACCTTGGTAGCTTGAAAATGTGTATTTTTCGATTTGATATTAGTTCCGGTTCCTAGGAGTTTTAAAACTTTAGACTAATGCAACTTTACAATATTATTTTGAATCGTTCATTTTCGTATCAACACAAAACGTATCACACTCAATGACCAAAGCTTCGGACGTTGAAGCGTAAATACTACTACTACTACTTAACTTTTAATTTACTCTGTTGAACTACCTAGACATACTTATACGTAAGCTAGTGCTGCCGTGGTAAGACTTGTCCGATAAATATAGTCAAAGGAGTATTCCAAAAATTCAGTCTCGACCTTTCTCGCAGACTCTTGGGCCTTAGGATGTACCGTTTACAAATGAAAGTACATGAACCAAATAACTTTATGGGCTATTAGAAAATGATCGTCGAGACAAAGAAGTCCAGAATGTATACAGAAAAATTAACTATATAGATGATTGCGCACAGATTGAGAGTCCTTGATTTTTAGCCTTATCCTTTGGGCTTTATATCACAAAACGTGATGTATTATGATATAGATGTTCTATATTGTATGAAATCTTTGATGGCTAGCTGGTAGAGGATGTTGAAAGCTAAATAAACCAGAAGCAACTCTGGGGAAGAATTCAACTTTCTCAATTGCCCCTGTAGTGGGGTGAACAGGGAGTCGGGCACATATGTATAGGTCGTCTGCCGATATCGGTTCTTTACAGAAACGTAGTACAACTATTATTTAGGTTGCCAATACCTGCTCATCAGGCCAGCTCAACATTTGATCAGCGAGAATGTTCTTATAGTGCTCATAGGTATACTAAAAATCAATGCTCAGCTAGGCTTAAGAAAAGTACATGAGGCGATTAGATACCATGCAGGTGGAAAAAACAGGCCTCCATCAACGATACGAACTTAGGTCAACATGTCTAGTTACGTACCTAGGCTCCGTATTTTTAAACACGAATAACTACTTGTGAACGAAGTTCTTTTAAAGTAATACAGTTGTCGATAGTTAACATCGTTCTATTTTATCGACATCATACAATCTTGAACTCAACAGTCAGCCCCTTCACTCCTACGTCGTTTCGTGGAACTAAATTAGTTCTCATACAGTTGTGCAATGAAATGAATTCCATCAATCCACTATTCGTTTAGCAGCCGTCCCACCGCCCTACGGAAAGGGACGTCCGAGCTTTTAGTTCATTGGGATCCGAACACTTTCTGCTTGTCAGCCGACGCTTTCTTCTTTATCAATGCTATTATCTACCCCAGAGTTTCTAACTGTCCTCTCTAAATGTTGTCAGCTAAAAAATGCGCAGAGATATACAGCCAGCAAATAGCTCATCTGCGTCATAGGCCACACCAGATCAATGGTAGAGAGGCACTACATAGATTGCGGTGAACGAGCCCTGAGTCAGATGACGCTAAGACCCTCTAGGCAGGTAACCAAACCGATGCGCAAAGACACAGCAGGCGGTGATTTTAACCATCTATTATAACGATAACCGGGCTGATCCGCATTGCTAAACTAGTTCTCAGCAACGACCCGCAATTAAAAGTGTGCACCGTGAAAGACTAGAAAGTAGAACGTAACATTTATTGCAAGACACAATCATATATTGCGAAGTTCTTTCGAGCTATATCCAAGTTCTGTTTCTCATCGCGAATATTTTTGGAAATTGAACAGGGAAAGCATCGTGCCGGAAAAGTTATAAAGTGTCTTAAACGTTCAGTGTAGAATTAGGTGCTACAGTGCGTGATTGACTCTGCCGAGGTTGAAGGTTAAAAACTACGTGAGCTGGCTAAGGAGACAGTACGACTGTTGAGAGTTGCAACTCCAGGGTTGGCCAAAACCCTTTTCTGAGTATTTTGGATAAGAGGGAAATATGGTGAAATTCGCTTAAGGGACCGTCAACTAAGAGCACTCAAGAGCCGAGAAAAAATAAACTGCTTTGGGTGTTTCTATACAACAAACGACGTAGTCACGTCGAGGCATCACGGCCATCATCGCCGTGACTGCCGCGGCTTCAAATCTGTCATCGTTACCGCCTGACCTTACAGGTACGTAACGCAAGCGAACCATCTATTGTTGTCGTCGTCGCGCTACAAAATATTCCATACTTTAGAAAATTTCTATAATGAAACGGCAAACTTTACGCCCCAAAAAACGTTTGCATGACGAGCTAAGGCATCATTTTTACCTTAGAGAAAAGATCCCCATGACTGATGAAGCAATTTAAGGTTATTGTTACTAGAGAAACTCGTCGGGCAGAACGGACGTACCGGTGAACTATGGTAACTGCCATATAATAAGCGCCTATATAAATGACTATTTAAACAACAGACGGCTCTGATATCTGACTTTGTTAGGTAAAGTCGCCTTTTTGTTCATTCAATTACGTGATACGGCAATAGAGGGCTGAATCTTACGTTATCAGACCCGATACGTTCTTATACACATATTTCACCTTCAATTTTAAACCTGACCGGACCGGCGTCGCTGTAACAGGCCGGCGCGATTCGCCTTTTTCGGATGGCCGTATGGCGCAGTTCTATGTTTGTCTTTTGCATCAGGCGGCTGACGTGTTAAGCTGGTTTTGGCTGCCCCCCAATTCAGTGAAAAACCGAACTGGAATTTCGTTTAGATCAAGGCGAAGTCGACTGTGTTATACAACCGACAAAGTCATCAACACTTCAATTTTTCTCAACTAGGGCATTACTCAGAGCTACCCAAAGGTCTATCTACTGTTTCGCCATTACTGAAAATGTACGCAAAAAAATTTCTTCCTATTGGTGCATTTTGAGGCCTTCAATAGAACCAATATACACGATTGCAACTAAAGAACTTAATTGAAGCCTCAAGTAAGTACAGACACACATATATATGTACGTACGTACGTACGTATGTATATTGTCATTAACCCTGTCAATATCACGTGCAAGTTCATTGTGAACTAGATAATTTTTTTTTTTGTATGTGGTGTTCCGTCGTTACCATAGTAGTCATATTAATGTTTGCTACTAGGAGCGGGTTAATAGTAACGGGAGTCGCTTTTATGATACGCCGCACCTGGATTCGTCGAACCTAGCAAGGCTTCTCTAATTGTCCTGCTACGTAACGACACCGCAGATAGCAATCAATACCAAAAGCAGTCTTGCTTATTTTCTTAGTGCGAAGCGTTGCGTGCCGGTAGCCGTGAATCAATCACATAACGATTTGTCATCCCCATCATGATCCGAGATTCCGATACTTTTGATTCAGTTATCTTGAAGCTGAAATGAAACAGCAGTTGGGTTACGACCCATTCGTTTGCTTAGCCTGATGCTTCGCCCATGCCATGTCGTACTGCAGGTTAGGGTCTAGTTCGTGGAACCTTAACGTCAGCAATCAAACCAATAGGGTCCATTGGGACTGGAGGCAGTGATTGCTTCCTCTCGACAGTAAACGGTCAAAGAGCTCTCCTTTGACTACTCTATTTCAGCTGTCTTAGTGATAGTAAGGTGATAGGTGTCTTAGTGATATTGAAACAAGGTCGCACAATGGACAAATCACAATATCTCGTACCATGCAGTTTTTTTTTAGAATCATCACCATCTAGGTCTTCAATAAATCCATGCGTAAATTACTCATTGCATTATAACAGATATTTTCTTAATTCCATTACAAATGCATGATGATTCTGGCTTGATCAGCAAAGCGTGTGAAGAAACCAGTCAGCTTTTTAGGCAAGTTCACAGAAGCTTAAATTACCTGTGACCTTTGGTTAAGCACAGACTATGACGAAACCGGTCAAAACATCTCACACTGGAACTTCGAGATTAACGCTTCGGAGAGGAATAGAAAAGTGAACAGAACGTACCAAACGCTAGTCTCAGGTGACTTAAAAATGTCTAGGAGATCCTTCACGTGACCTCAAGCAGTCTATGTTTTGGTTTTTGTAAAACATCTGTTTATCATCTTTTTGTATACCTGATTCGTACACATAAAACATATAGTGTGTGCGAAATATGTAGTGTATGAAAAGCAGATTGCTTGTGAATTATAAGGCAAGAAAGGAAAGTTCAGACGAGAGATACGCGCAGTCGC